TAGCAGTAGTAGTGTAGCAGCAGTAGTAGTGTAGCAGCAGCAGTAGTGTAGCAGCAGCAGTAGTGTAGCAGCAGCAGTAGTAGTGTAGCAGCAGCAGTAGTAGTGTAGCAGCAGCAGTAGTAGTGTAGCAGCAGTAGTAGTAGCGTAGCAGCAGTAGTGTAGCAGCAGTAGTAGTGTAGCAGCAGCAGTAGTAGTGTAGCAGTAGTAGTGCAGCAGCAGCAGTAGTAGTGTAGCAGTAGTAGTGTAGCAGTAGTAGTGTAGCAGCAGTAGTGTAGCAGTAGTAGTGTAGCAGCAGTAGTAGTGTAGCAGCAGTAGTATTGTAGCAGTAATAGTGCAGCAGTAGTAGTGTAGCAGCAGTAGTGTAGCAGTAGTAGTGTAGCAGCAGTAGTAGTAGCAGCAGTAGTAGTAGTGTAGCAGTAGTAGTGAAGCAGTAGTAGTAGTGTTGCAGCAGTAAAGTAGCGACACGGAGGCGGCTGACCGCCGGTGAGTGAGCGATTGGCGTGAATCGGTGAGTGCCAGGTCATCGATAGCTCCCTCCCTCACTGCTGCTGCTTCTTCTTCTTCACGCTGAAGTCCACGAGATGTTGAAAACGGCAGAGGCTGTGTGGGGACCCCGTGGGCCAGATGGACGCGCAACACCCACGGCTGCCTCCTCCCCCCCGCCCTGCGACGGAACCGCAGACCCTGGCTCCGTGTGTGGCGCACAGGCGGACGGCAGAGAGTGACAGAAGACGGCCACGTCCTCCATTGTCAAGAATTGCGGGCGTAGATACGAGGCGTTCATCGCTGTTGGCACCCCTCTGAGACAGCACGGGGATGGGAAGAACGACAGAGCCCCCACCCTGCCAGGACTTCAAACGCCGGCACGACTTTCCCTCCACAGCTGATAGATACTCAGTTTTTTGTTCATTATGAACCACCGCTCAATTAGTTAAATTATCAACTAAACCAATGAAATCAATGAAATCAATAAAATCCATCAATTAAGTCAATAAATTAAATAATCATATTAAACCAATCAAATAAATCAAGTCAATCAATTCAATTAACTCAATAAATGAAATAAATCTATGAAATCAATCAATTTAATTAACTCATTATATGAAATAAATCTATGAAATCAATCAAATAAACTCATTAAATAAATTCAATGAAATCAATCAATCAAACGATGAGCTACCGCTCAAACCCATTGTGCACACGGCGACGCTCACAGCGAGCTGGGTGCCAGTTCAAGACGCGTTTGTCCTCGTCGCCGTTTGCCCGAGCGAGTGGGCGCCCCGAGGCGGCCGATGAGAACGCGCCGGGCAGCCGGCCGCGAGGTCACCGGCGGCGTTGCGAGTGACAGCGCATGGCAAGGGAATGTTTCATCCGCTCGAGCGACCTTCTCGCCCGCTTGACGGGAGACGCAACGGCAGCGGTGTTACAAAGCCGGAAACGGATCGTTGGCGGTAGCGCTCGCACGCTCGCTCGCAAGCAAGCGTAGGATCGCCACACGCGTGCGTCGCACCGAGCCGGCTTCTTGTTTCACTTGGGCAGGTGTCTTTGAGCCACGGAGAGAAATCCCTGCAACGTTCTGAATGGGTCCTCGCGAGGAGGCTTCCTTGCGGGACAGCCCTTGCTCGTAACGCGGCTTCCCCACCGGCGTTCGCTTGAAGAGGCCCGACACTGCTGTTGAGGGGCCACGGATGACAAAGCTGCTCAGAGGTTCCCCCCCCCCCTCTCATTTTCAACATCTTCTCGACTTCAATGTGAAGAAGAAGCAGCAGCAGCAGTGATATGAACCCCTCCGCGACAAACTGGTCAACACGTGCGACTATGCAGTCGAAAAAAACGAGATTTTATTTTTGTTTGCCGTTAATTGATTACCCACAGTCCACCGTCACCACCAGAGCGGTAAAGTTTTACACCCCCCAAAAGGGTTCGCGTGTGGACGCCGGTATAGAAGCCCACAACACCAGTTCACCTGTACCTAGAAGCCAAGCCCACGCATCCCCTGGGAATGTTTAAACAAAGCAAATATTGGGGAGAATTAAAAAAACATAAAAAAACTAATATTGGCATGCTGGGGATATGAATTAATTACATAACCCAAATTAAGATTGAAGAGCACGGATGATTGTATGTTACAGTCACGATCAGATTCACAAGTGATCTCCTAAACATAACGACGCAACAACACAACAGTTACACGGTTAAGTTACATGGTTAAGTACCTGGGATTACACGACCCAACAATCACATCAGTGTTACACGACACCACATTTCATCACGACAAAAAACGCAACCGTACACATTTTGCGAACGTTTGCCGGGCCAGTGCCGGATTATCCTCGCAGCAAAAGTAGCAATATATGCTTCGGGCCCCGCACTTTGAAGGGCCCCGCGTTAAATGCTTTCAAGCTATCAATTCCGGATTGGTGATTCTGCACTTGCTCTATTACTATAGTACTATACTGCCTTCAACTTTTATAAACGACTGGGTGTTAAAGGTTAGCGATTTGTCGTATTATCTGGCTGTATAGCAAGTAAAAAAATACAATTACTTTACTGTGCAAGTTTAAAATTTGTGTTTTAATATTTACGTATTTTTTAAATTCATGGTCTCTTTATAACATATGCTGCAGGCCCCACACGAGCTTAATCCGGCACTGTTTACCGGCTAATTCGTCTGTGCGGAGCGCGACGAGAACGACGGCCGAGTGGCTCAACGCGGACGCAGGCAGCCACCTGGCACTGCAAACACGAACACCGCGGTCGACTATGCAAGCACAGCACGCGGCACTTTTAACGGCCAATAAATACACAGCTTTACGAACGCCTTTGACCGCAGGTGAGAGGAGAATACAACTTTCCCAAAAACATTGGATGTGGATAACTATCTTTTTTCGCTTTGCCAAACACCGTAATGCGACGCTGACGATGCCTCGTACCCCCAAAAGGTTGCGATCGTTGCCATTATCGTCGTGACCTTTAACCCCACAGAGCCTCGCCCGGCCTCGGCTCCTGTCCAGGAGGGCCCGGCTAAGTCGCCGTTGGTCAGTGGGCGACGGTCGGTTTGCAAACTCCCGACAGGATCGTTCGCGGTGTAATTTTATTTTTAAAATTTGCCGCACGTTTGGACCGTGACATCGGGCACACAGCGGCTTACTCTTGCGAACGGCCTCGCTCCATCTGCGACTTCCACCCTGAAGAAGATGATGGCGTTCGTATTTTACGGTCAAATAGCCTCCCAGGGAATTATCCAGGGCGGTCTGCCGGATTCGAATTGAGGACGGTCCGCAACAAGCGGCGAGGACGCCGCCTGATCAGAGCGTCCCGGGCTGCCTCGTGCGAGCTGGAAGCTTCGCTCATGAGAAGAGACTTCGCCAGTGCCACCGCAAGTGGTGTCGAGTAAACTATTAACTATTTAAAACAAGTTTTTTTCTTATTTGACCAAATAAGGAAGGCCCCACTGAGCCACTGTGTAGCTCTTTTTTTCAGAAACGAAGTGGTTCATCATCACATGGAAATTTAGAACGTCCAAAAAAAGACCCTTCAGCGCAGTGAAAAAACCGGAGTCCCGATAAAAATCCACGCCACCGCGGGGAGAGAGAGAGAGACAGAAAAACTCCAAATATACAGCAGGCGTCAGGGTCGGAACTGAACCCACGGCTTCCTGCACACCAGGCGAGGCAGTTAACATCTCGCCACCGTGGGCGCCCGTGCGTGTGAACACAGTGGGTTGTGTTCACACGCACGGCAGTCACTTTAGAGTCTCGTACTTTCCCTGCATTACGAGACACTGCCCTGCTTGCGTCTCTACGGCATGTCGGTGGATGTCCCCCAAATCTATTCTATTGGCCTCCCATGTCACGTGATGCTCGTGTCTCTCTCTGATTGGCCACCAGTGCCTATGAAATGCCTCGACATATTCGCTAATACGAACACCGTGTGTGTGTGACCTTAAAATAGAAAAAAACGAATCTATAATAGGTGGCGTTTAGGGCTATGGTTCTTCTACATTGCACATACAGTGATAGAAAAAAGTATTTGATCCCCTGCTGATTTTGTACGTTTGCCCACTGACAAAGAAATGATCAGTCTATAATTTTAATAGTAGGTTTATTTGAACAGAGTAGCAACAAAAAATCCAGAAAAACGCATGTCAAAAATGTTATAAATTGATTTGCATTTTAATGAGGGAAATAAGTATTTGACCCCCTCTCAATCAGAAAGATTTCTGGCTCCCAGGTGTCTTTTATATAGGTAACGAGCTGAGATTAGGAGCACACTCTTAAAGGGGTCAAATACTTATTTCCCTCATTAAAATATTTCTGATTGAGAGGGGGTCAAATACTTATTTCCCTCATTAAAATGCAAATCAATTCATAACATTTTTGACATGCGTTTTTCTGGATTTTTTTGTTGCTATTCTGTCTCTCACTGTTCAAATAAACCTACCATTAAAATTATAGACTGATCATTTCTTTGTCAGTGGGCAAACATACAAAATCAGCAGGGGATCAAATACTTTTTTCCCTCACTGTAAGTCGAGAAGCTTAGAGAGTGGATGATAAGAGATGATTGATGGGAATTTTTTTTTTAGTTTTCTGATGACTAATAGGTAACTATTAGTAGTTACCTATTTGCTGTTTAAGGGGCCGTCCATAAATGACGTCACGCACCTGGGGGGGGTCAGACATTTGTGACGATGTGTGACGAGGGGGGGGGGGGGTTTGAGAAATGTGACATCACATCAAAATGTGCTACTTTAAATAAATATAGAATTGTTATAACAACACTCATTGTTATAACAACACTGCTACAACATCAGAGTGCAGCGCCACATTAAATACGCACTACAATGACAATAGTTTAAAGCGATTTTAAGCATGTTTTATTTTCAAAATGGAAACATGTTTTTCGGGGGGGGGGGAAGGGCAGAGCTTTGTGACCTCATATTTGAGGGGGGGGTCTCACTTTTGTGACGCTGTGTGACTGGGGGGGGGGGGTCAAAAATCGTCCAAAATCGCGTGAAGTCATTTATGGACGGCCCCTAAGTACCAGACACATCCTGCAAAAAAAAACAAAAAGCATTCCTACAAAATAAAGGTATTTATGTTAAAAAGTAAAATTCGAAAATGTCGCCAGCACTTTGCATCATGGGAAGTGTTGTCTTCGTGAGCACAAGGTCGGTGCCAGTGCCCTGGGCAGGAGCCCAAGGGCCTCTTGAGTGAGACTGGGGGCGGTCCACGGGACCGGTGGTGAGGGCGCATTCCAAAGCGTGCCGCCGATTTTGTTCGGGCCGAACCGCAGCTCCTCGACACGGATTCTAGGTGTGCGCCTCGCGCGTTAGGGCCATCCTTTGAAGCAGGCTGACGGCACGATCCGCAAACAAGGCCCGTTCCCACAACGATTCCGTCTGCGCGCACTACGGAGGGGGACTATTGCCCGCGACGCGCCACCTGTAGGACAATGTTCGCTACTCCGAAGGCCGCGCGGTGTTTTGTGACACACAGAGCGCCGTCGCCAGTTAAACGTCATTAGATCGCCCCCTCGGGATTCCACCGCTGTGGAAGGCGACCGTTATATAGTTATTAGAACTATATATAACGATACATGTAACTTTCTGCATAAGTATATATATAAAACTATATATATGGTTTTATATATACAGTTAACAGCCCCTACTTGAAAATACTGCACGCAAGTCAAGCGAGCGTTAACTAAAATAGCCACCCGCGTGCGCACATGCACACACGCACAAGCATGCGCGCACGCGCGAGGCCATTCCTCGTTTTTCCAGTCGCTCCGACCTCCGGCTGTGCCGTCGACGCTGCCGCCGTCCCCGCGAGACGCTGACCACCTCGCTCGTGACTCGCACGGGAAGCGGTGTGGCGTCAACCCCCCCCACCCCGCCCCTCCTCTGGCGAATGAAGAATTGGCCTCCGGAAGCGTGCGCCGCAGAACTACTCCCGAGACACCCCCCCCTTCGCAGTCGCCTCATGCCCGCTCCGGGTGATGCGGCGCCTCGCCGCTGACGTCGCGATCAATTGACGTGCGTGGAGCAAAGCCTCGTGAAGTGAGAGAACACGGAGTGTTTTTTTGCGCATTTGCTGCCGAATCAGCCGCAACCCATCAACGCGTCGCACTTCAGCATCTCCGCTTAAACTCGCGAGTTGCTAAACCCGACATTGCACCCCGGCAACGTGGCCCGTTGCTCCGATACGGTTTTATTTCTCCGCAGTCAAGTGGCCGGTCCCGAGTCATTTGGAACATTTGCACGCGGCCAGGAAAAGCGTCTCACTGGTTCTCGTGTAAATCCTCTCCCAACTCGCGTTCAGTTTGTGCTATCGGCATCGTGAGGCAGAGAGGCATTTGGAATTCTCAGAGGCGAGCGGTGTAAAAAAAAAAACCCGTAACATTACGTCGGTAACTTATAGTCCGAATTCAGCATGCAAACCGCCGCCGTTGGATTTTCTGCTTTGGGCAGTGTTGGGCATTTCCCATCCCAAGCTTTTGCCACGCCGCTGACTCACTGCGACTATCCCGCACCATTTCACCATTGCGTTTCGTCAATACGAGCTTTGTGCAAGTGTTTTCGACTTCTCCCGTAACGCAGATTTCTATTCGCCTCACGTAAGCTCCGGTCACTTTGCGCGGCGCTTTTGACTTCCAGTGACGTGGTCGCTCTGCTCCCATTTGTTTATCTTTCTGGCTGTATTGTTGCTTTTCTTCAAACCCATTCGTGATTTTAGGGGTGACCCACCCAAGCCACCGCTTCCTGTCTCTCTCTCTGCCTCCCGCGCTCTCGCCCGGTTCAACGAGAAGAACAAAACAACTTAGCACGCAATTGCGGCCTGGCTTCTCCGCGGCCAGGATTAGCGGTTCATCATTAATTTAATTTTCGTGTCAAAGCCATGCGGCAGTAATTCTGGCCGGGCCGGAAAATTATTTCAGTCATCAAAGACCCTCTCGTTGCCCGTACGGTGGAGGCGGCAGCGGGGGCGGGGCGAACGCCGTGACGGTCACCGTCATCGTCGCCGCTTCAGCTCTCTCACCGGGGCGAGTCGACGCGCAATTCCCTCTCAGTTACGAGGCGGTTTTAGCGTCCAAGCTGCCAGGGCGGGAACCTTCAGGACGAGATGCGGGAAAAGTCAACGCTTCGCGGTCCCCCAATCAAAACGAAACAAGAGCTCGAGAGCTGAAGACGCCCGCGGTGATGAAGCTTAAAGTTTGACGGATGAGGAGGAGGAGGAGGAGGGAGAGGAGGAGGGAGAGGAGGAATCTCTCGACACGAGGCCGAACGGGGGACGAGCGCGCTTGGGATTATTTGTCGTCAAGTTGCTGGTGCGCACCCCACTTGTCGTCTGTATTAATTGAAGCGATGTGGCCGAGCGCACCGCCACGGTTTTACCGCAGCACGGTCTTGAGCTCGTGGCTCACGAAGGAGAAGCCGGAGAAGGTGTCCTGGTCCATCGAGTCGATGAGGTTGCGGTCTCCACGCGACAGCCGAGGCTTCTCCTGCAGGAACTCTTTGTCAAAGTTGCTCCAGTCCCCGGGGGAGCTCTGGGGGGGGGGGGGGGGGGGGAGGTGGGGTACGTGCACACAGACAGACATATACAACACACACACGTACACAAAGATCCACCATTTAGCATTAGCAGACTGTCGGGGCAAGTGCTGTTAGCTGTTAGCGAGCACCTATGAAGGCCGGCACGGCACACGAGGGGGTGGGTGGACAACACCACGCCCGGCCGCCTTTGTCTCCCTAGTGACGATGTTACACATCGCACCAGGTACTCATTTGAGGCTGAGTCGACCTAGGGGAGGCCCGGGACCGGTTCAGATAATCGTCACTGGTGTTGGCCGTGAGCGGGAATCGAACTCTGGTCGCCGGGTTTGTAGCACACCGCAGCGCTAACCGCTGCGCCACCACTCCCCACCGTGTCACTCTACCAACAATCTCCCCACCACGTCACTCTACTAACAATCTCCCCACCACGTCACTCTACTAACAATCTCCCCACCACGTCACTCTACCAACAATCTCCCCACCATGTCACTCTACTAACAATCTCCCCACCTCATCACTCTACTAACGATCTCCCCACCACGTCACTCTACTAACGATCTCCCCACCACGTCACTCTACCAACAATCTCCCCACCGTGTCACTCTACCAACAATCTTCCCACCGCGTCACTCTACTAACGATCTCCCCACCGCGTCACTCTGCCAACAATCTCCCCACCACGTCACTCTACTCACGATCTCCCCGCCACGTCACTCTACCAACAATCTCCCCACCGTGTCACTCTACCAACAATCTCCCCACCGTGTCACTCTACTAACGATCTCCCCGCCACGTCACTCTACCAACGATCTCCCCACCACGTCACTCTACCAACAATCCCCCACCAAGTCACTCTACCAACAATCTCCCCACCAAGTCACTCTACTAACGATCTCCCCAACATGTCACTCTACCAACAATCCCCCCACCACGTCACTCTACTAACGATCTCCCTGCCACGTCACTCTACCAACAATCTCCCCACCGCATCACTCTACTAACGATCTCTCCACCACATCACTCTACTAACAATCTTCCCACCACGTCACTCTACCAAAAATCTTCCCAACATGTCACTCTACCAACGATCTCCCCGCCACGTCACTCTACGATTGATCTCCCCAGGTCGCCCTGCGGCTGCTCACCACGCGCGGCTTGAAGGGCGGCTCCAGCTCCCGCTTCTCCAGCGCTTCCCAGTTGATGGTGCGGAAGAACGGGTGCTGCCGGATCTCCCCAGTGACGCCGAGTCTCTTCATAGGTTCTCGCTCCAGCAGCTGAGAACGAAGGCAAACATCCCCCGTGTAGCCTGAATGGACTGTCGGGGCAAGTGCTGTTCATAAGCGGCACCGATGCGGGCCGGCCATGGCGCTCAAGGGGTTTGGTGGCCAGCACCACGCCAGGCCGCCTTTGTCTCCCTAGTGGAGATGTTTATATACTGCACCAATGACTCATTTGAGGCCGAGTCGACCTAGTGGAAGCCCAGGCCTAGTTCAGCTATTTGTCACTGGGAATTGAAGTCGGGTCACCAGGTTCAAAGCGCAGCGCAATGCTATCCATTGCGCCACCGCTCTCCATGATAACACAATCATTAACGGCAATCATTGCTCATATTGTATTATAATTATTGAAATTCTTCTTTTTGATTTAAAGCTTTCGTGACTGCAGGGATTCATATTCTTGGTTCTTTCGGTAAAGTCACGTAGAAAGAACCAAGAATATAGAAATTCTTCTTCTCGAATCACGAAGCCTCAGCGCGTCTCAAGGCTTCTTTTTCAGGAGTGTCCTGCAAAGGTTTCGCAGCCAGGGGGTGACGGTTGCCAGGTTTCAAAATCAGGTTGCGGTGTCATTGATTCACATGGGGACGTTTGGCCCACGCCAGTTACATCGTGTGAAAACAAACGTGAGCTATGGGAGGAAACCAGAGAATCCTGGGAACAAACCCATGCGGACCAAAGGTAGAACACACAAACTCCGCACACACAGGCGCCCGAGCCAGGAGTCGAACCCAGGTACTTCTCCGCTGAGTGTTACCACCCTGTCGCCCGGTGAGTTGTCCCCTCCACGTGAGAGTCTCGCTCACCTGGTGGGGGGAGCACCGCCACTCACTCACCAGGGGCAGGATGTCGCGCGAGTCCTTGGTGATCCATCGTGGGTAGTAGGGCACGCTGGTGCGGATGCTCTCGAACAGTTCCTCCTCGTCGTCACCACGGAATGGACTCTGCCCGATGAGCATCTCGTAGAGGAGGACCCCGAACGACCACCAGTCCACGGAGCAGTTGTATTTCTGTCCAATCACGATCTGCAAGGTGGCCCGGGCAGACAGGAGGACATAGCGCTGCGCTTGCACTGGCTGAGATCCTGGGTTGTGTTCACTCGCTCACACGCTCGTTCAACCACACACTATCTCACACACACACCCATTCACCCTCTCACTCACCCGCCTGCTCACTCTCTCCCCTGCTCGTTCAACCACTCACTGACCAACACACACCCGTTCACCCACTCACTCATTCACCTTCTCGCTCATCTGCTCATTTAACCGCTCGCTCACTCAGCCACACACACCCGTTCACTCACTCGCTCCCTCACCTACTCACTCGCTTGCTCGTTCAACCATTCGCTCACTCATACACCCATACACTCACCTACTTGCTCACCCACCCAATCACCCACTCCCCCATACAATTCAACATCTCACTAGTAATCTTTTGCTCTTTGTAAAAATGAAAAATGTCCCTCAGTGAGTCTTAAGACGCGTTTTCAGGAGAGTGTTGCATTGGGGTGTTTTGGCCAAATCCCGGGTAAGAAACCGGCATGCCAGGAGGTCCCACTCACATGCAGTGATAGCACTCAGAGGCCTACACTGCTGGCTTTACCTCACCTGGTATGTATGCAGGAGGTCGTGGGTTTGATCCGACCCTGGCACCTGTATATTTGGAGTTTGCATGTTATCCACGTGGTCATGTGGATTTTTCTCCGGGTCCTCCGGTTTTTTCCCTCCACATTTCGAATCGACATCACGCATTTTGAGCGTTTGGTTGCTGTAAATTTGCACGTGATAAGCCACTTCATTGAGCTGTCATTTGTGATAGCCAGGTCACTTCTGAAAAAGAGCTATGAAGCAGCTCAGTGGGGCCTTACTTGGTCAAATAAAAAATAGGGGGGGGGGGGGATAGGTTCACTAACCTACTTGCTGTGCTACCATCTCCTGGCCACCCCCACAGCCCAGTGGGAATTGGGGTTTTGCACATCTGTAAAGAAGCTCCTTCACAGGTTCCATTTTCTAGGTGATTTATTTTACAGTAACGTATTTACAAGGCGAGATTACGACTAATACGTTCACAAGGCTATGATTATCTGCAGCCCCAGTGGTTCCCACTAGATTCATCTCAAACAATCTTTCTTGATGGTTTATATCATGCAGATCTCGGACAGTCCTTCTTGATGATTTCCACCAAGTAGATCTCGAACAGTCCTTCTTGGCGGTTTCCCCAATACTCTTTGGTTCTATTCGGTAAAGTCACGTAAAAGTATAAAACAACAAAAATAAAAACTTCACGACGTTTCGGCCACAACACAAGTGGCCTTCATTTGAATTTTTTATTTTTGTTGTTTTATACTTTTACGTGACTTTACCGAATAGAACCAAAGAGTATGGATCCTTGCAGTCACGAAAGCTTCAAATATAGGTTTCCACAATGTAGATCTCGAACAGTCCTTCTTGATGGTTTCCACCATGTAGACCTTGGACAATCTTTCTTGATAGTGTAGAGATGTTAACTACGCGCTGTTGCGTAACCTGCATTGCCACCAGGGCAGTGCAGCATTACCCCTGGGTACAACGGTTGGGGTCAGTCGAGGTGAAACGGATCGTGGCCAGGGTTTGGTACGAACCAATCAGACGGTTCCACGTGGGAATGTATGATTGGTTCTACCTGGCCACGAAGGAGTATAAGACGGGTGACCCAACGGACCTCGAGGAGTTCTCTCCCTGCACGAAGACAGAAGACTGGGCTGAAGCCTAGCTAGGACCCTGGACCAGCCTCCCAGCCCTTCTAAGGGCTAAGGCTCGGCATACCCAGTGGTCAGGACCCACCGGGCCAGCGGTGGGTCAGATAGCCTCCCCTAGGTCCTAGCCGGAGGACTAGGATAGCGGTAGACGTGTGAGTCCCGCCAAGTGCGGAGGTTGTACCTCCTTAGGTATCAAGGAGGTTAGCGGTAGACGTGTGAGTCCCGCCAGGTCCGGAGGCTGTACCTCCCTAGGGTATCGGGTGAGGGGACTGAATATCCCTCTGTGTGTGTTAAGCATTGTATAAGGAAATAATACAATAAACAGAGTGTGCCTCCTAAAGAAGTCCGCTCGTCCTTACAACACTACAATAGTTTCCACCATGTAGATCTCGAACAGTCTTTCTTGATGATTTCCACCATGTAGATCTTTGACAATCTTTCTTGGTGGTTTCCACCATGTAGATCTCGGACAGTCCTTCTTGGCGGTTTCCACCAGGTAGATCTCTAACAGTCGGCTCCGATGTCGTCTATCTGCAGTCGTCCTTCAGTCCCAGAGCCAGCGCCCCGATTGCGGGCCTCGCTCCCCGTTATATACCCCGCTCAGCCACACCCCGGTAACTTCCAGCACTTTCGCCCGGTAGATTCTTCCGACAGACTCCACCGTCTTCTACTTCCCTTCTCGAACCTTCCCTCGTACAGTACCCTTTAACCTGTTTCCACCCCTCTCCACTGACCCCACTAGAACCCCTTGTCATGTACACTACCCTGCACATCTTTGCCTCACCTCTGGGGCGATGTAGTCTGGGGTGCCGCAGAAGGTGCCGGCACGAACATCACCCACGATGTTCTCCTTGCACATGCCGAAGTCGGCAATCTTGACGTGGCCGTCCTTGTCCAGAAGGATGTTGTCCAGCTTCAGGTCCCTGGGGCAGAACGAGATCGGGGGCGGGGGTTCATACCTCCGTGAGTCTCGCCAGGGTCTTGGAAAGTTTTCGCAGTGCGGGGGGGCGGGGGGTAAGGGTCGACGATCACTGCTGTGTGCGATACTCCCAGTCGAGTCGTTTGCGCGTAAATTTTTCTAATTTGGCCAAGTTGGACCGTGGTATCGTGAATCAACCATGGTCACATGACACTCCGGTCATCCTCGCAGCAGCAGCAGCAGCAGTCGCGGCTTTTGGCTGGCGATGGAACAAAGACAGTGGTAACGTCATCACGCGGTGCTTTCACCTGTGCTTCTGCGGTCGTCTGGAGCGCCCTTCCTTCCGATGTTAGGAAGCCACTGGAGCTATGCACCTTTAAATCATCTAGATTGAAAACTAATTTCTATATAACTGCTTTTTGTGTTTAGTTTGTTGTCATTCCCCCGTACCTCTGGTTAACATGGTTGGCTACGTACGGTGTGAAAGAGGTTCAACATACCTACATCAAGAATGGACATACAATGGCTTGCCAATGTCTGAATCAGAATATTTATTTATATTGGAGCAATCCGATGAGCTAGACCACGTTTTTTCACAGATGTCCAGTAGCGACGGGAAAAAATGTTACAACAACAATTAGTACAAAAACAGGATAGAAGTGCAAAGCACAAGAAAGGTAAACAAATCACCCAAACACATACAAATAAAACTAAACCATCCCCACCCTACCAGACAAAGCCCACTGAGCTATTCACTTATTTTTCAGAAGCAACCTGGCCACAAATAACAGCTCAACAAAGTGGCTTATCACGTGGACATTTAATAGCAGCAAATTAATCTAAATGCATTGGTCCTTCAGTTCATGGTCCCATCAATTAATTATATTTCGGGAAACGATCCGCCTCCCATAGTGGTCTCATTGTTTCTATTAACGATACAATTTCGATAAATGGTATGTCCTACAATGTCACGCGGCTACCAACATCGACCAATCGGAACGCTCCCTAAGTGGACTCGGCAGACCTCAGCCAATCAGCGACCCGCCCTTTTGTGAGCGTTTTGAGAGCAACTGGCTGCTCGCTTTTTAATGTTTGATGTGCGTTACTTACGGAAACAACTCTTTTGAATACTTAATATGTTCTTATAACATTTATTCATAAAAATTGTGTGTTTAAATATTATTAGGCTTAAAGAGGTCAACTTCCGATCGTCTTGGAACACATTCAACCTTTAACGTGCATTTCCCACATTCAATTAATGATGATTTTAATTAATGTCGGTGTTCGTGGAACCAATTAATATCGTCAACTGAGCGACCACTGTAATCTCAATGCATGATTCTAAATGTGGATGGAAAAACCGGAGGACCCGGAGTAAAAAATTAACACGACCACAGGGAGAAAGACACGCAAACTCCAAATATACAGTAGGGGTCAGGTTCGGGATCGATCCCATTACCTCTTGCGTACCAGTTGAGGTAGTTAATATCGTCACAGCCTCATCCGCTGCAAAGCAGCAGACCGGGATTTGAACTCGCAACCTTCCCACTTGCGAGCCGCTCGCCATGCCGCTGGGCCGTGGGCGAGGGTTCCCCCCCCTCCCTTACCTGTAAATGATTCCCTGGTCATGCAGGAACTGGAGTCCGCTCACGATCTCGGCTGCATAGAACCTGCAATGAGATCGGGGGGGGGGGGGGGGCCTGAACGGCAGAACGACTGCGATGATGACAGCAAAGTTTAGCGGGCTGAGTGAGCTGAGTGTGTGGGGTGTGAAGATGGGGCAATGGGTGTAAAATAGGGGGAACGCATTTGAAAAGGTGAATTATAGAATGCGTTTAAGAATGAGCATAGCAGAGTTTTTGTTTTATGTTGGGTTAGATTGCGTAGATATGAATGTGTTGTTAAACCCGACACCACCCAAAACAACCAATCAGTAAGGGTTTGTCACATAAACAAAACGTGCCAATTAGTTATTAGTTCAGCACACACTGGTTGTGTGCTGGAGAGTAAACCCACGACAACATTTACAATTCGAGTACCGTGACATTTCCTGCCAGTAATTACAACAACAACAACCAGCCCCATTAGGCACACGGATGGAGTTTGCCGAGCGTAAGTCGGGTAAACGGGATTGAGTTGGGGGGTAAGGGATGCGAGCGGGAGGGGGGTGAGGGAGGAGTGACCGTAGGGTGGCAGGTCGCTGTGAGTGTGAGCGATAATTTGTGATAGTCAGGCCGCTTTTGGAAATTAAGTTAAAACCTCAGTGGGATTTGTCTGGTAGGATGGGATGCTATAGTTCTATTTGTATGCGTCTGGGTGATTTTTTTACCTTTCTTGTACTTTGCACTACCATCGTACTTTTTGTACTGTTTGTTGTTGTAATGTTCTTACCACTTGCCCCGACTGGACATCTGTGAAAAAGAGGTTTATAGCTCATCAGATTCCTCCTGCAGCGTAAATAAATACTCTGTGTGTGTGTGTACGCACGTTGCTCGGTCGATCTCGAAGCGACCCTTGACCTGGATGTGAAACATGAGGTCGCCCCCGTTCAGATACTCCATCACAAACATGAGGTGCTCCTGCAACAACGACAGAGAGAGAGACAGCGCCGCAGCGCCGCAGAGCAAGGGGGGCGATCAGGCTGCGCGGCCTCGGAGGAGTGGCTCGTAACATCATGAAAAATAAGAACGGGGCAGTTTTTACCCCTTTGTTCTTTCTTTCTGGCATTAAAACAACAGGACTTGTGTTAAGATGTTAAAACGCCACATAGACACACACACATACCTGTGAGCAAGGCATCAAAAGTCTACATTAACCACCACACACGTACTTGTGGCAAGCCGTGCAAACAAACATGCTCTGATAATTATAATAATAATAAACGCACTGTCTTTGAAACAGATTGGTCTACACCAGAGACAGCAGCCTTCTTCATGGGCTAATCTCACCACCAGTGTTAGACCAAAGAACAAAGACAAAAGGCGAACAGTACAAAGACAATGCCATGTATCACAGCATTCATAGCTCGGGTCGAGCAGTCATATCTATGGGACCGTTTTGCCAGTATCAAAAATTATGAAACATAAGAATAGGTTTTACCGTTTCTGGCAATAAAACCGTAGGTGTTAAGATGTTAAAACACCACATAGATACCTATTTCAAGGCATCAAGTCTGCATTAACCACACATACCTGTGGCAAAACATGCAAATAATCAGTTTAAAATACAATGCATATATTATTATCAGAGGGGTGAGGCTGTGATCTGGGCGAGGCTGTTATGGCGGTGAGGCTGTTGTAGCGGTGAGGCTGTGATGGCAGTGAGGCTGTTATGGCGGTGAAGCTGCTATGGCGGTGAGGCAGTTATGGCGGCGAGGCTGTGATGGCGGTGAGGCTGCTATGGTGGTGAGGCTGTGATGGCGGTGAGGCTGCTATGGTGGTGAGGCTGTGATGGCGGTGAGGCTGTGATGGCGGTGAGGCTGTTATGGCGGTGAGGCTGCTATGGCGGTGAGGCTGTTATGGTGGTGAGGCTGCTATGATGGTGAGGCTGTGATGGCGGTGAGGCTGCTATGGTGGTGAGGCTGTGATGGCGGTGAGGCTGCTATGGTGGTGAGGCTGTGATGGCGGTGAGGCTGTTATGGCGGTGAGGCTGCTATGGCGGTGAGGCTGTTATGGCGGTGAGGCTGCTATGATGGTGAGGCTGTGATGGCGGTGAGGCTGCTTTGGTGGCGAGGCTGTGATGGCGGTGAGGCTGCTATGGTGGTGAGGCTGTGATGGCGGTGAGGCTGTTATGGCAGTGAGGCTGCTATGGCGGTGAGGTTGTTATGGCGGTGAGGCTGCTATGACGGTGAGGCTGTGATGGTGATGAGGCTGTGATGGTGGTGAGGCTGCTATGGCGGTGAGGCTGTCACAGTGGTGAGGCTGTGATCTTTGTGAGGCTGTCAGAGTGGTGAGGCTGTGATCTTGGTGAGGCTGTCACAGTGGTGAGGCTGTGACGACGGTGGCGGTGAGGAGGCTGCCTCACCTTGGTCTGGAAGGTGCTGTAGAGGTGTGCCAGGTAGGGGTGGCCCCAGGCGAGGGAGAGGATGCGCTTCTCCACGAGGGTGCACTCCACGTCGTCCGACATGATCACCACGTCCTTCTTCAGGGCCTTGATGGCAAAGAAGTTCCTCGGGCGAGATTTCAGCTCGGCCAGGAAGACCTGTGTGGAGGCGGCGGTGGATGCGTGGAGAGACCAGAGCGGCAGTGGATAACGATCTAACGCGAGAAAGGGCTCCAGAGAGCAAGATGAAGAAGTTTAGCAAGCACTACGTCTGTCACCAACATCACAAAAGCAATTATTTTTTAGAGATGAAACAAATATAACTCAGAGCAAAAACAAGCAGATAGAACTCAAAGATAACCAGATACAGTGAGGGAAAAAAGTATTTGATCCCCTGCTGATTTTGTACGTTTGCCCACTGACAAAGAAATGATCAGTCTATAATTTTAATGGTAGGTTTATTTGAACAGTGACAGACAGAATAACAACAACAAAAATCCAGAAAAACGCATGTCAAAAATGTAAAAAAATTATTTGCATTTTAAGGAGGGAAATAAGTATTTGACCCCCTCTCAATCAGAAAGATTTCTGGCTCCCAGGTGTATTTTATACTAGTGTTGAGGAGTTCCCGACGACGACTCGGAGACGACTGAAGGCAAGGGCTTTCGCCAAAGGTTTATTAAGTGTATTACAATAGCACAAAGGGTGGGACAACTTCCCAGGGGTTAGGGGTCCTACACCAAGTCCTGGTCCAGCCCGGCTAGCTCTGGTCTCTCTCCCTCGAATCGGATGGGGGCACTTGCCAACCCCACCGACCGGGAAGAGCAGCACCTCCTACGGCTACCACCGGCTTCACTCCTGACTCTCGTCGATCCCTCTCTACCCCTGGTTCCCTCTCCACCCTTCTCACTCCACCCGTTCTCACAGTGACCCCGCTTTCGTCACGGGGTCCCCCTTAAATACTAGACGAGACACGATGCCATCGAGCCGCCCAGCGCGCATGGTGCCACTTTCCGTGACGTCCTCGCACTGGACGGCACACATGACGTCACGTCTCCATTTTACTCCTCTACACAGGTAATGAGCTTAGATTAGGAGCACACTCTTAAAGGGAGTGCTCCTAATCTCAGCTTGTTACCTGTATAAAAGACACTGGTCCACAGAAGCAATCAATCAATCATAATCCAAACTCTTCACCATGGCCAAGACCAAAGAGCTCTCCAAGGATGTCAGGGACAAGATTGTAGACCTACACAAGCCTGGAATGGGCTACAAGACCATTGCCAAGCAGCTTGGTGAGAAAGTGACAACAGTTGGTGCGATTATTCGCAAATGGAAGAAACACAAAAGAACTGTCAATCTCCCTCGGCCTGGGGCTCCATGCAAGATCTCACCTCGTGGAGTTGCAATGATCATGAGAACGGTGAGGAATCAGCCCATAACTACACGGGAGGATCCTGTCAATGATCTCAAGGCATCTGGGACCATAGTGACCAAGAAAACAATTGGTAACACACTACGCCGTGAAGGACTAAAATCCTGCAGTGCTCGCAAGGTCCCTCTGCTCAAGAAAGCACATATACATGCCCGTCTGCAGTTTGCCAATGAACATCTGAATGATTCAGAGGACAACTGGGTGGAGGTTTTGTGGTCAGATGAGACCAAAATGGAGCTCTTTGGCATCAACTCAACTCGCCGTGTTTGGAGGAGGAGGAATGCTGCCTATGACCCCAAGAACACCATCCCCACCGTCAAACATGGAGGTGGAAACATTATGCTTTGGGGGTGTTTTTCTGCTAAGGGAACAGGACAACTTCACCGCATCAAAGGGACGATGGACGGGGCCATGTACCGTCAAATCTTGGGTGAGAACCTCCTTCCCTCAGCCTGGGCATTGAAAATGGGTCGTGGATGCATATTCCAGCATGACAATGACCCAAAAAACACGGCCAAGGCAACAAAGCAGTGGCTCAAGAAGAAGCACATTAAGGTTCTGGAGTGGCCTAGCCAGTCTCCAGACCTTAATCCCATAGAAAATCTGTGGAGGGAGCTGAAGGTTCGAGTTGCCAAACGTCAGCCTCGAAACCTTAATGACTTGGAGAAGATCTGCAAAGAGGAGTGGGACAAAATCCCTCCTGAGATGTGTGCAAACCTGGTGGCCAACTACAAGAAACGTCGGACCTCTGTGATTGTCAACAAGGGTTTTGCCACCAAGTACTAAGTCATGTTTTGCAGAGGGGTCAAATACTTATTTCCCTCATTAAAATGCAAATCAATTAATAACATTTTTGACATGCATTTTTCTGGATTTTTGTTGTTGTTATTCTGTCTCTCACTGTTCAAATAAACCTACCATTAAAATTATAGACTGATTATTTCTTTGTTAGTGGGCAAACGTACAAAATCAGCAGTGGATCAAATACTTTTTTCCCTCACTGTAAGTATTTCACCCCCTCTCAATTAGAAAGATTTCTGGCTCCCAGGTGTCTTTTATCCAGGTAACAAGCTGAGATTAGGAGCACACTCTTAAAGGGAGTGCTCCTAATCTCAGCTTGTTACCTGTATAAAAGACACCTGTCCACAGAAGCAATCAATCAATCAGATTCCAAACTCTCCACCATGGCCAAGACCAAAGAGCTCTCCAAGGATGTCAGGGACAAGATTGTAGACCTACACAAGGCTGGAATAGGCTACAAGACCATTGACAAGCAGCTTGGTGAGAAGGTGACAATAGTTGGTGCGATTATTCGCAAATTGAAGAAACACAAAAGAACTGTCAACCTCCCTCGGCCTGAAGCTCCATGCAAGATCTCACCTCGTGGAGTTGCAATGATCAGGAGAACGGTGAGGAATAAGCCCAGAACTACACGGGAGGATCTTGTCAATGATCTCAAGGCAGCGGGGACCATAGTCACCAAGAAAACAATTGGTAACACACTACGCCGTGAAGGACTAAAATCCTGCAGTGTTCGCAAGGTCCCTCTGCTCATGAAAGCACATAAACATGCCCGTCTGAAGTTTGCCAATGAACATCTGAATAATTCAGAGAACAACTGGGTGAAAGTGTTGTGGTCAGATGAGACCAAAATGGAGCTCTTTGGCATCAACTCAATTCGCCGTGTTTAGATGAGGAGGAATGCTGCCTATGACCCCAAGAACACCATCCCCACCGTCAAACATGGAGGTGGAAACATTATGCTTTGGGGGTGTTTTTCTGCTAAGGGGACAGGACAACTTCACCGCATCAAAGGGACAATGGACGGGGCCATGTACCATCAAATCTTGGGTAAGAACCTCCTTCCCTCAGCCAGGGCATTGAAAATGGGTCGTGGATGGGTATTCCAGCATGACAATGACCCAAAACACATGGCCAAGGCAAAAAAGGAGTGGCTCAAGATGAAGCACATTAAGGTCCTGGAGTGGCCTAGCCAGTCTCCAGAACTTAATCCCATAGAAAATCTGTGGAGGGAGCTGAAGGTTCGAGTTGCCAAACGTCAGTCTCGAAACCTTAATGACTTGGAGAAGATCTCCAAAAAGGAGTGGGACAAAATCCCTCCTGAGATGTGTGCAAACCTGGTGGCCAACTACAAGAAACGTCTGACCTCGGTGATTCCCAACAAGGGTTTTGCCACCAAGTACTAAGTCATGTTTTGCAGAGGGGTCAAATACTTATTTCCCTCATCAAAATGCAAATCAATTAATAACATTTTTGACATGCATTTTTCTGGATTTTTGTTGTTGTTATTCTGTCTCTCACTGTTCAAATAAACCTACCATTAAAATTATAGACTGATTATTTCTTTGTCAGTGGGCAAACGTACAAAATCAGCAGTGGATCAAATGCTTTTTTCCCTCACTGTAAGTATTTGACCCCCTCTCAATTAGAAAGATTTCTGGCTCCCAGGTGTCTTTTATCCAGGTAACAAGCTGAGATTAGGAGCACACTCTTAAAGGGAGTGCTCCTAATCTCAGCTTGTTACCTGTATAAAAGACACCTGTCCACAGAAGCAATCAATCAATCAGATTCCAAACTCTCCACCATGGCCAAGACCAAAGAGCTCTCCAAGGATGTCAGGGACAAGATTGTAGACCTACACAAGGCTGGAATGGGCTACAAGACCATTGCCAAGCAGCTTGGTGAGAAGGTGACAATAGTTAGTGCGATTATTCGCAAATTGAAGAAACACAAAAGAACTGTCAATCTCCCTCGGCCTGAAGCTCCATGCAAGATCTCACCTCGTGGAGTTGCAATGATCATGAGAACGGTGAGGAATCAGCCCAGAACTACACGGGAGGATCTTGTCAATGATCTCAAGGCAGCTGGGACCATAGTAACCAATAAAACAATTGGTAACACACTACGCCGTGAAGGACTGAAATCCTGCAGCGCCCGCAAGGTCCCTCTGCTCAAGAAAGCACATATACATGCCCGTCTGAAATTTGCCAATAAACATCTGAATAATTCAGAGAACAACTGGGTGAAAGTGTTGTGATCAGATGAGACCAAAATGGAGCTCTTTGGCATCAACTCAACTCGCCGTGTTTAGAGGAGGAGGAATGCTGCCTATGACCCCAAGAACACCATCCCCACCGTCAAACATGGAGGTGGAAACATTATGCTTTGGGGGTGTTTTTCTGCTAAGGGGACAGGACAACTTCACCGCATCAAAGGGACAATGGACGGGGCCATGTACCATCAAATCTTGGGTGAGAACCTCCTTCCCTCAGCCAGGGCATTGAAAATGGGTCATGGATGGGTATTCCAGCATGACAATGACCCAAAACACATGACCAAGGCAACAAAGGAGTGGCTCAAGATGAAGCACATTAAGGTCCTGGAGTGGCCTAGCCAGTCTCCATACCTTAATCCCATAGAAAATCTGTGGAGGGAGCTGAAGGTTCGAGTTGCCAAACGTCAGCCTCGAAACCTTAATGACTTGGAGAAGATCTGCAAAGAGGAGTGGGACAAAATCCCTCCTGAGGTGTGTGCAAACCTGGTGGCCAACTACAAGAAACGTCTGACCTCTGTGATTGCCAACAACGGTTTTGCCACCAAGTACTAAGTCATGTTTTGCAGAGGGGTCAAATACTTATTTCCCTCATTAAAATGCAAATCAATTCATAACATTTTTGACATGCGTTTTTCTGGATTTTCTTGTTGTTATTCTGTCTCTCACTGTTCAAATAAACCTACCATTAAAATTATAGACTGATCATTTCTTTGTCAGTGGGCAAACGTACAAAATCAGCAGGGGATCAAATACTTGTTTTCCCTCACTGTATAAGTCAGAACCAGACATAACTCAGCAAAGACAACCAGATATAACTCGGAGACAACAATATATATCTTAGCAGAGACAACCAGATAGAACTCAGAAACAACCAGATATAACTCAGGACCAGATCGAACTCAGAGACTACCAGATAGAACTCAGCAGAGAGACAAACCATCACCTTTCCAAAGCTGCCCTTCCCGAGCACTTTGTGGAAGATGAAGTCACTGAGGCCTAGCTTGATGGGCTTGGGAGGAGCCTGGCCCGAGGAGGCACGTCCGGGCTGCGTGGGGGAGAGCAGACCGGGCGAGGTGGGAGGGATGGGGCTCGTCGGTGACTCGTCGGGGCTCTTGGGGCAGGTGATGTTGTACGAAGAGTCATCGCCGCCAGCGTCTTCTCTGGCTGCCAGCAAACAAAGCGGGAGCGGGGGAGTTCGTGAGCACATGCGGTGGTGGCGGTGGTGGTGTTTGGTGGTTTCGCCGACCTCTACCGGAGCCGGCGCACTCGCCGCCCTGAACTCTCAAGCGCATTTTGTACCTTACATACAATAGAGTCAGTAGATACTACTTTAAAGTCAGTATATACTACTGCCTCTTTTGTATGTAGCATGTGTAGTTGTAGATACTACTGATTCAGTATATACTATTATAGAGTCAGTATATACTACTGACTCTATTGTATGTAGGGTGTGTAGTTGTAGACACTACTGATTCAGTATATACTAATATAGAGTCAGTATATACTACTGACTCTATTGTATGTAGCGTGTGTATTTGTAGATACTACTGATTCAGTATATACTAATATAGAGTCAGTATATACTACTGACTCTATTGTATGTAGGGTGTGTAGTTGTAGATACTACTGATTCAGTATATACTAATATAGAGTCAGTATATACTACTGACTCTATTGTATGTAGCGTGTGTAGTTGTAGATACTACTGATTCAGTATATACTAATATAGAGTCAGTATATACTACTGACTCTATTGTATGTAGAGTGTGTAGTTGTAGATACTACTGATGCAATATATACTAATATAGAGTCAGTATATACTACTGACTCTATTGTATGTAGCGTGTGTAGTTGTAGATACTACTGATTCAGTATATACTAATATAGAGTCAGTATATACTACTGACTCTATTGTATGTAGCATGTGTAGTATAGATACTACTGATTCAGTATATACTAATATAGAGTCAGCATATACTACTGACTCTATTGTATGTAGCATGTGTAGTTGTAGATACTACTGATTCAGTATATTCTATTATAGAGTCAGTATATACTACTGACTCTATTGTATGTAGGGTGTGTAGTAGTAGATATTACTGATTCAGTATATACTATTATAGAGTCAGTATATACTACTGACTCTATTGTATGTAGGGTGTGTAGTTGTAGATACTACCGATTCAGTATATACGAATATATAGTCAGCATATACTACTGACTCTATTGTATGTAGCATGTGTAGTTGTAGATACTACTGAATCAGTATATACTATTATAGAGTCAGTATATACTACTGACTATTGTACGTAGCATGTGTAGTAGTAGATACTACTGATTCAGTATATACTATTATAGAGTCAGTATATACTACTGACTATTGCATGTAGCGTGTGTAGTAGTAGATACTACTGATTCAGTATATACTATTATAGAGTCAGTATATACTACTCTATGTCAGGTGTGTAGTAGATACTACTGACTATTATATGTAGGGTGTATAGGCATGTATGCAATATAGTCAGTAGATACTACTGCTGACTATTGTATGTAGGTATATCTGCCTCCAAAATACATTTCAAAAGACATTTATTCTTGGACAATTTTTGGAAACCTGTTGATCAACTTTTTACCCCCACATCTGGAGGGGGAGGGTCCACTGAGAATTAATAATCTAAAAAAAGTTACACATCTTTGTTCTTGGAGTCGACTGTGTTTATAAAGAGGTTTGCTGGCTGGATTCCTTCCTGGATTCCTGTGCGACCGCCGGGTGTAGGCCATGTGTGCGTGCGTGGTCATCGCGCCACTAACCCACCTACCCACCCTCCACCCACCCTCCACTCAGCCCATCATCCCTTCCCTCCCTCCGGAGTGTATAAATCACATACTCGTTTGTGGGGAAGCACAACAGGGGTTGTCCTACGGATATACTCGCCCTCCACCCGAGGAATGTGGAATTTCCCCCACTGGTTCTGCAGGGCTATAAACGGAAGATGCGTCACGTTTGGCAAAATGTTAACTACCTCGCCTGGTATACAGAAGGTTGTGGCTTTGATCCCGAGTCTGACGCCTGCTGTATATATAAGTTTGCATGTTTCCCCCGTGGTCACGTGGATTTTTCTCTGGGTCCTCCGTCTTATCCCTCAACATTTACACCTGGCATTGCGCGTTCAGAGTTTTTGGCTGCTCTAAATTTCCACGCAATGACGATGAGCCACGTCGCGGGTAAAGAAGCGTGGGAAGACTGGCATTGGTGGAGCGTTTGACACGTACCTTGCTCCTGCGCTTGCATGGCCTTCTGCAAGTTGGGGATCATGTTCTCAAAATTATGGAATTCGGAAAAACCTCCCTTCTGCATCTTCATCTGTGGAGTAGACCGTGGCATGGGGCACTCAGCGCTGGCGTGGGGCAGTGTGGGTGGCACCCAGAGCCCTCCCAAACAACGACTCCATCGCAAGAGGATGACCATCTACTCGCTACTATTACTACCGCTCTTTTTGTTGTTACAGTCTGTTCTCCCGTAACGTTGCGGTAGTCATTGCGTTCCCGAAGAACACCGCTTTCCGGAAAAATCGCGTTGTAATAAATAATATATAATACGAGCATAAAGCACGTTCCACGATGACACGCGAGATGCACAAGACAGGCTGAAAAAAGACTGAGGCACGTGGGTAGCATCTAGAAGCATCCAGCAGCATTCCAATGCCTTGTGCCATACTACGCCAAGGCAGCCGTTACAACAACTGCTTTTTATACTCGCGTGACGTAGTTCCGTTCACTCGATCGCGTTATATCCAATTCGCACACCCGCGTTATGAAAAAAAATTCCGTCCCCTGATTACATACGCTGCGCTGTATCCAATCCGCATTCTAAAAACATAATGCGGCATTGCAGGAAAACGGACTGCGCTGCACCGTCAGAGCCTTTCGCGCCAGTGCCATGAGACTGAACGGTAACGAGCGGCCTCCGTGCCCTTAACCCGAGGTTGGGCCATGGAGCGAACGTGGCCCAGGTGCTGGGAGAAGCTCCTGGCCAGGGGCTCTCGGCGAAATCACAGCGGGGTGCATGCGGTGGACAAGGGCAACAGTCGTGCATTTAGTGCCTTAGCAGAGCTGGCACCTTGACAAAGATACTGTCTTAACAAAGCTAGCATCTAACAAAGCTAGCGTCTTAACAAAGCTAGCGTCTTAACAAAGCTGACATCTTAGCAGAGCTAGCGCCTTCACAAGCCAACAACGGCCTTGGCGGTTCATGGGCGGTGAGGGTCCACTCTGAGCGGCGCCGTCTCCGGCGTGTCACGGCTCGCAGGGGAGGTTCACGACGGCCAGCACTGTGCTCACCGTCTGCTGGGTCGTGTCAATGTGTGCCAGCGCCTCGGCCATCAGCTTCTGGTTTACACCGCACAGGTTGGCAACCTTCCCCTTGCAGCGGTGGTGAACGTTCATCTCGCACGCTGGAGCAGGGAGGGGGGCACAGGGAGGGGGCGCAGTGAACGTTCGTGAGGCACACTGAGGGGCAGCACGAGGAAAGGGGAGCGGTGAACGTTCATGTGGCACTTGGGGGGGGGGGGGCATGGGGAGGAGGGTGCGCCCACGATGGGGCTTGATGCTACACTTGGGTTTGATGCTACCCTGGGGGTTGAGGCTACACTGGGGGTTGAGGCTACACTGGGGGTTGAGGCTACACTGGGGTTTGAGGCTACGCTGGGGTTTGAGGCTACGCTGAGTTTGAGGCTATGCTGGGGTTTGAGACTATGCTGGGTTTGAGACTACGCTGGGGTTTGAGGCTACGCTGGGGTTTGAAACTACACTGGGGTTTGAGACTAAACTTGAGTTTGAGGCTCCGCTGGGGTTTGATACTACACTGGGGTTTGAGACTACACTGGGGCTTGAGACTACACTTGAGTTTGAGACTACACTTGAGTTTGAGACTACACTGGGGCTTGAGACTACACTTGAGTTTGAGACTACACTGGGGTTTGAGACTACACTTGACTTTGAGACTACACTGGGGTTTGAGACTACACTGGGGTTTGAGACTACACTGGGGTTTGAGACTACACTGGGGCTTGAGACTACACTTGAGTTTGAGACTACACTGGGGTTTGAGACTACACTTGACTTTGAGACTACACTGGGGTTTGAGACTACACTTGAGTTTGAGGCTACACTGGGGTTTAAGACTACACTTGAGTTTGAGGCTACACTGGGGTTTGAGACTACACTTGAGTTTGAGGCTACGCTGGGGCTTGAGACTACACTAGAGTTTGAGACTACACTGGGGCTTGAGACTACACTTGAGTTTGAGGCTCCGCTGGGGTTTGAGACTACACTTGAGTTTGAGACTACACTTGAGTTTCAGGCTACACTGGAGTTTGAGACTACACTTGAGTTTGAGGGTCTGCTGGGGTTTGAGGCTACGCTGGGGTTTGAGACTACACTGGGGCTTGATACTAAAATGGGACTTGACGCTACACTGGGTTTTGAGACTACACTGGGGCTTGATACTAAAATGGGGCTTGACGCTACACTGGGTTTTGAGACTACACTGGGGGCCTGGGGGGATTTACCATCACACTTCAGTCCCTGCTTCACCAGGCCCCAGAGCAGAGTCCCACAGTGGTCGCAGAACGTGGGGCTCTTGTAGTTGTTGGTGCGGAACCTGTGTGGCATGTCGATCTTGAAGCGCTCCTTCTGAAGCTGCTCGCACAGAGAGAAGGACAAAGACATACACACAATGAGACACACGTACAACAATGCAGAGAGACACTCAGTGAGACAGACACACACGATAAGACACACAAGGAGACAGAGAAACACTCAATGAGGCACATACAACAAAACAGAGACACACAATGAGATCTACTGAAAGAGAGACATGATGAGAGAGAGACACAATGAGATACCTAATGAGAGAGACACAATGAGACAGAGGCAATTAATCGATTAATTAATTGATGGATTCATTGATCGTTCCAGGGCTTTTGCTTATTTTCATTCGTGAATGACAAACGACAGGATTAAAGGCTGCTTTTTCAACGGTTTTTCTGAACTTGACTCCTCTGTTTGTCGTGGTCAAATCTTGTAATCAAAATTTCGTCCACTTCCTGTTGTCCAATCAATTCCACATTTTGCACACGTACTCAGATCCGGTGACAATGCATGCTTGTATCAAAATCGGCATCAATTAATCATTTAAATCGCTACTTTAAAGCAATTTACATTTTGTATGGACGCCTTATTATTTATATATATTTGTGTCGGTCAAAAACGCCGCGGTCCCTAAACTGTGAAATCGGCTCGCACAAAACGCGGTCACCACGTGTCTCAGGCACCACTGACGTACTTCTCAAAGGCCGCGAGTTAAACGAAGTTGTTAATAAAACCGTTGTTTTTTTTAAACGCTTTTAAATGAGTTTTTTTGTGTTTAGCTCCTCCTGGTGTAGATACAAGGAGGCATTGCGATCATAATCGGAATATTTACTTAGAAGACGTCCAGATGACACCGCCGCCGAACGAGACACCGATTGCACAGTGCCGCGTCTGCGTAAGCGCACAGACCGCATGGTAAAAAACACCCTGGAACACGCTCTGATGCCGTGCGCCCTCTCCTTGGGACCGGTCGGCTCGCGTCGGCGACGGCCTCCGTTATTTTGCGAGGTGTGAAATCGCGTGCGACGCCTCGCTGTTAAGCGACGCACTGAGAAGTGCGAGGAATGTCAACGTTTAGGGAAATCTGGAGAGAAAAGGTGGCACGATTCAGGGGAAATGTGAAGAACGCCGACACTCAACAGATCTATTCTACTCGATTTTTTATTTAAGCAGGTGTAAGGCCCCGCTGAGCTGCTACAGTACGTAGCTTTTTTTCAGAAGCGACCTGGCCCATCACGAACGATAGCGCAACCAAGTGGCTTACCATCGTCACGTGGACATTTACAGCAGCCAAATACCCTCAACGCGTGACGGTGACTCTCAAAATGTGTAGGGAAAAATCGGAGGGCCCGGAGAAAAATCCACGCGACCACGGGGAAAACATGTGGATTTGCTTCACCAGTTCTAGACCAAAGGGGAACAGCACAAGGACAATGCAAACACCAAAGTGTTGATATCTCGGATTCAGCAATTATTAAATATCTTGAAAACTGGCAAAAGGGTACCAAAGCTATTTTCATTTTTCCTCGATCCAGTGGTTGAAGCTCCACATTTCCATGACATGGGCCAGCCTTGCCACAACGTGGGCAGGCCAATGACCTGCCCATAAAGTGGTACTCAATTTGTTCAGCCGAGGCGGATAGCTGGACAAACTCGTCTTGATGACAGGCCCCCCCCCCCCCCCCCGCAGGTCGTGTGACCTGGCCCTGCTGATCGATCGTTGACTCAGCTGGATTGATTGACAGGCGCCAATGAGCACTCTTTGTAATGTGTACACTGCACGAGGTGTTGCATGCACGTTGATAAAATGGGGGGGGGGGGGGGGGGGGGGAGCCCTGTTTAGATCTCACCATCTGTGGCCATTCGCGAGTAATAAATGTCACCCTCGATGACTGAGGTGGAGCGTCTCTCGCTTTGTGCAAAGTATTATCCGTATTTTGATTTAGCATGCTGATCTTAAAGGTGCATCGAAAAATTTGATACTCCGACTGATGCTTCTGTTGTTGTGGAGAAACTCATGCAGCCAGCTATGGCTCTAGGATTTCGTGTTACATGTTATTTATGTAGTTTATTGTTAAAATTCGGTCACAGTCCCTATGATCACTGTTACGTTGCAATTATGGCTTTATTTATTGGTGATTTTCGAAAACGTGTTTTGGTTTGGACATGTTTGTTTTGTTGTAGTACGGAGTTAGACTGATGGCCTTAATCTAAGTTTTCTTGTGGTTGTTATTTAACTTGCATCCCACTGGGATTTTTTGCACACAGCGTTGGTGTACGGTGCTTTTTTCAGGAATATTTTTGCTGTTTATTTTCATGGATTTTCTGTTTGCACGGTCAACAGATAGTCACTTCAAGATGTTTTTCTTGTTCGTGTTTTTGTTTTTTTGTTTGTCGCAGTTGCACCCGATTCAAGAGCCGAATGGCTCACAGGGCTATACCAAAATAAATAAACTGAACTGAAACTGTCCAGGGTGTGGGGACTGACGCACGTTCAGCACGTGGTGTTCCATGTGGGCACGTTCAACACGTGGTGTTCCATGTGAGCACGTTCAGCACGGGGTGTTCCATGTGGGCACGTTCAGCATGTGGTGTTCTATGTGGGCACGTTCAGCACGTGGTGTTCCATGTGGGCACGTTCAGCACGTGGTGTTCTATGTGGGCACGTTCAGAACGTGGTGTTCCATGTGGGCACGTTCAACACGTGGTGTTCCATGTGGGCACGTACAACACGTGGTGTTCCATGTGGGCACGTTCAACACGTGGTGTTCCATGTGGGCACGTTCAACACGTGGTGTTCCATGTGGGCACGTTCAACACGTGGTGTTCCATGTGGGCACGTTCAACACGTGGTGTTCCATGTGGGTACGTACAACACGTGGTGTTCCATGTGGGCACGTTCACGGCGCCACCGCATTTGTGCAAAGAACGTCTCACCCGGTCAAACGCACGAATAATTTTTCGCGAAGTTTTCACAGCGGTATGGAGGGGGAGGATTGTTGTGCAGATTCCCAGTTGAGTACATTACAGATGAAAACAAATGTAAACCCAAAATTGGAGATGTGTGTTTACTCTCCAACACACAGGTGTGCTGATCTAGTAACGAATTGGCACGTTTTGTTTACGTGACAAACCTTACTAATTGGCTGTATGGGGTGGTGTCCGGGTTAACGACGCATTTATATTTACGCGATCTAATCCAAAAAGCCTCTATTATGAAGTGGCTTATCATGTAGAAATGTATAGCAGCCAAATACTCTAAACGCACTTCCATTCTAAATATATCAAGAAAAAGCAGAGAACCCAGATAAAAAAAATCCACGCGCCCACGGGCAGAGAGGCACGCAAACTCCAAATATAGAGCAGGCATCGTCAGGGTCGGGATCGAACCCGCGACCTCCTGCATACCAGGCGAGGGCGTTAACATGTCTTGTGATTGGTGTGTCCGGGCGATCGCTCGCTGTTAGCACCGCTCTGTCCCGTGACGCGCGCCGCTAATTCGCCGCTCGTTGCAAGAGCTCCCCGGTGGGAATGTTTTCCATCTCGGACTCGCGTCACCGGCAGCTGCCGCAGCAGCGGCACCAATTGTGAACAATTTGAGACTAACAGCTCCATGTGAGAAACCGGATACGAAACGGGGGCAGTTGGCCGAGTTGTCTGGGAAATAACCTGAACGATAGAAACACAAACACGCGTAAACATTACTGATCTGTCGCTTGATGCCTGTAACGCGTATCTCTGTCTCATTGTGTCTCTCTGATTGTGTGTCCTTGTGTGTGTCTGTCACATTGTGTGTCTCATTGTGTCTCTCTCGTGTGTCATTGAGTGTGTCTCTGTCTCATTGTGTCTCTGTCTCATTGTGTCTCTCATTTTTATTTATTTCCCCGGTTGCATCTCGCAGAAGACCCACGGCGCTGCCTAACGGCTGCGGCACATTTGCGATGCCGGTCCGGCCGTGCAGTTCCCTGCCGGGCCGGCGAGGGATGCTCATCAGCGCATCAGAGCCGTCGCCCCCCGCCCCCCCGCGCGAGGTGAGCGAGCGGAGGGGGAGGTGGGCAGTCCCCCCCTTTGATATTTTGTCCCGTTTCATTTCGTTTTTTTCTTCTTCTTCTTCTTCGAAATACCAGCGAGAAAAGGCGCATCAAAGTGGGGGAGGGGGACGGGGTGGGGGCTCCCCCGCGGCTTCAGAGGGCAGCTGGGGTCGGCGGGGGGTCGATGAGGGGAGGGGGGGTCAGCGGCGGGGGGGGGGGCTCTCTCACCGCCGTGTCGCGGCTGTCGGCCGCGCTGCCCGTGCACTGCGCCAGGACCTTGTCGATGCAGCGCTTGTGGATGACCGCGTTGCACTCTGCGGACGTGCGCGCACAAAGACAAAGATCCCCCCCGTCACGGCGTAGATGTCGCGGACTGTCGGGGCAAGTGTCGTTCGCGAGGCCGGTGCCGCACGAGAAGGGGGTTGCGGTGGGGTGGCCGGCACCACGCCCGGCCGCCTCTGTCTCCCCGGTGATGGTGTTGACGTGTCGCACAAGGTACATGTTGGAGGCCGAGTCGACCTAGGGGAGGCCCTGGACTGGTTCAATTGTTCCCCACTGGTGTTGACCAAGAGCGGAAATCGAACTCGGGTCGCCGGGTTCGTAGTGCAGCTCGAACCACTGCGCCACCGCTCCCCCACGATGACCCAATCATCATAGCACACAATTATCGCTCATTGTATTATGCTCACCTCTGTGTGCTGTTCAACTTGTTCCCATCCCGCACTGATTGCTCTCTTGTGAGGAGTTTTCTCATTATATTACAATTTTGAATCATCATGTGGATTGTGGAAGGCTCGTCACTGGCAGGTCACGGGACAGACCCAGGTGCCATCGGTTGACTGACTGCGACGATTGGCAGATAAACCAGTTGTGCTCCCTACTGTGCCAACCTGCTGTGTTTAAGCTGCCCGGCGCTCCGCTCGTTGTTCTGAGCGTCGCTTCTCCGCCGTCCGCTGTTGCTGGAGGGGCGACTGCCTCCAACTGCCCAGCAGCATCCTTCACGAGCCTCCTCCACAGAGGCTGATCTTGACACCGCTGGTACCGGTCATCGGCAAGTCTACTCAGCTCCGCGTCCTCCTGTACCGCATCACTCCATCTCTTCTCTAGCCCATGGCGCACCCGTTTAACCCCCCTCTATCCGCTGGAACAGAAGCTGCTTGGGCATGCGGAGGCTGGATATGCGTCCTAAAATGCGACTGAAAATGTTCACCCAAAAAAACTACGTGCGCATTTGTTGTTGTTTTGCGCAGAGGCACAGACACGGCGGAGGAGGCGGATTGTCTGCGTGGCTCATTTTGAGCAACACGCGAGAGCGTGGCACTGTCCTTGGGATGTGATCCTCCCTCCCTCCACGATGGCTAGGAGATATTAACTAACTCGCCTGATATGCAGAAGGGCGTGGGTTCGATTCCCATCCTGACGATACCTGCTGTATATTTGGAGTTTGCGTGTCTCTCTCTCCCCCCGTAGTCGTGTGGATTTTTCTCCGGGTCCTCCGGTTTTTCCCTCCACATTTAGAAATACGCGTTTAGAGTATTTGGCTGCTACAAATTCCCATATGATGATCATAAACCCTGGCCAGGTCACTTCTAAAAAAAAGCTCTATAGCTTCGTGAGCCTTATCTGGTCAAGAAAAAAAATCGTTTTAATAGTTAGTTCCAGCCAGTCAGCCAAACTTTTCTCTCACACAGCACGATTGGACCTCGCACTGTATGGAGGAGGAGGAGGGTGCTGCTTGTGTGAGTGCAGTTGGAGGTGGGTGGAGGGTGGCAGTTCGGTGGTTGTCATTGAGGCATCTTGTGGGGCTGTGACGCCGGGATGTTCGCTCCGACGAGAGACGAGAGAGTGAGAGAGTGAGAGACGAGAAAGTAAGAGACGAGAGAGACGAGAGAGTGAGAGAGTAAGAGACGGGAAAGTAAGAGACGAGAGAGACGAGAGAGTGAGAGAGTAAGAGACAAGAGAGTGAGAGACGAGAGAGACGAGAGAGTGAGAGAGTAAGAGACGAGAAAGTAAGAGACGAGAGAGACGAGAGAGTGAAATACGAGAGAGTGAGAGACGAGAGAGTGAGAGACGAGAGAGACGCGAGAAACGAGAGTGAGAGAGTGAGAGACGAGAGAGACGAGAGAGTGAGAGAGTAAGAGACGAGAGAGTAAGAGACGAGAGAGACGAGAGAGACGAGAGAGTGAGAGAGAGTGATGAGAGAGTGAGAGAGAGTGAGAGTGAGAGACGAGGGAGTGAGAGAGTGAGAGAGTGAGAGACGAGGGAGTGAGTGAGAGAGCGAGTGAGAGAGTGAGAGTGAGTGAGAGAGAGAGTGAGAGACGAGGGAGTGAGTGAGAGAGCGAGTGAGAGAGTGAGAGAGCGAGAGAGTGAGATAGCGAGTGAGAGAGTGAGAAAGTGAGTGAGAGAGTGAGTGTGAGTAAGAGATGAGAGAGTGATGAGAGAGTGAGAGAGTGAGAGTGAGTGAGAGAGTGAGAGTGAGAGAGTGAGAGAGTGAGTGAGAGAGTGAGAGAGTAAGTGAGTGAGTGAGAGAGTGAGAGTGAGTGAGAGACGAGAGAGCGAGTGAGAGAGTGAGAGATGAGAGAGAGAGTGAGTGAGAGAGAGAGTGAGTGATGAGAGAGCGAGTGAGAGACGAGAGAGTGAGAGAGCGAGTGAGAGTGAGTGAAAGACGAGAGAGTAAGTGAGTGAGAGAGTGAGAGAGTGAGTGATGAGAGAGTGAGTGATGAGAGAGTGAGAGACGAGAGAGTGAGAGAGGGACGAGAGAGAGTGAGAGACGAGAGAGTGAGAGGGTGAGAGAGTGAGTGATGAGAGTGAGCGATGAGAGAGTGAGAGAGTAAGAGACGAGAAAGTAAGAGACGAGAGAGACGAGAGAGAGTGAGAGAGAGTGAGTGAGAGAGTGAGAGAGGGACGAGAGAGAGTGAGAGACGAGAGAGTGAGAGAGAGTGAGAGAGGGACGAGAGAGAGTGAGAGACGAGAGAGAGTGAGAGTGTGAGAGAGGGACGAGAGTGAGTGATGAGAGAGTGAGAGAGTGAGAGACGAGAAAGTAAGAGACGAGAGAGTCGAGAGAGTGAGAGAGTGAGAGACGAGAAAGTAAGAGACGAGAGAGACGAGAGAGTGAGAGAATGAGAGACGAGAAAGTAAGAGACGAGAGAGTGAGAGAGTGAGAGAGTAAGAGACGAGAGAGTGAGAGAGTGAGAGACGAGAAAGTAAGAGACGAGAGAGTGAGAGAGTGAGAGACGAGAAAGTAAGAGACGAGAGAGTGAGAGAGTAAGAGACGAGAGAGTGAGAGAGTGAGAGACGAGAAAGTAAGAGACGAGAGAGACGAGAGAGTGAGAGACGAGAGAGTGAGAGAGTGAGAGACGAGAAAGTAAGAGACGAGAGAGGCGAGAGAGTAAGAGACGAGAGAGTGAGAAAGTGAGAGACGAGAGAGTCAGTGAGAGAGTGATGAGAGAGGTTTTTTTTTTACTTTTGACAGCCTTTATTCAGGCTTCCACCTGCTATTGCAGTGGAGCCACAGTGCATCGGACCATAGTCCAGGCAGCAACGGTGATGGGGGAAAAAAACCGACACTGGGCGGCGGCACACACGCCGTCACCTACAGCATCCCGTACACGGAAAAAAAAAACCCTTCTCAAACGACGCGCGCGACCGGGCGTCATCCGCGCCAGGCTTATGGGGGGGGGGGGGGTAGTCCCAGCTAAAAACAGCAAAAAAATGACAACGACACCGGTCAAGCGCGTCAACGCACGCACGACCGACGGCCACAACTGGTGCATACAAGCACGGGCTTCATAGCGCGGATGAAGCGAGAGTTACACCGCAACCTCCGCTCATCTCCGCGTGCGCACAGAGAGTGAGAGAGTAAGAGAGTGAGAGAGTGAGAGACGAGAGAGAGTGAGAGAGAGAGAGTGAGAGAGAGAGTGAGAGAGGGACGAGAGAGAGTGAGAGACGAGAGAGAGTGAGAGAGTGAGTGATGAGAGAGTGAGAGAGTGAGTGATGAGAGAGTGAGAGAGTAAGAGATGAGAAAGTAAGAGACGAGAGAGTCGAGAGAGTTAGAGAGTAAGAGACGAGAAAGTAAGAGACGAGAGAGTGAGAGAGTGCGGGAGTAAGAGACGAGAAAGTAAGAGACGAGAGAGTAAGAGACGAGAGAGTGAGAGACGAGAGAGTAAGAGACGAGAGAGTGAGAGACGAGAGAGTGAGAGAGTGAGGGAGTAAGAGACGAGAAAGTAAGAGACGAGAGAGTAAGAGACGAGAGAATGAGAGACGAGAGAGTGAGTGAGAGAGTGAGAGACGAGAGAGTGAGTGAGAGACGAGAGAGAGAGTGAGAGAGTGAGTGATGAGTGAGTGAGAGAGTGAGAGACGAGAGAGAGTGAGAGAGTGAGTGATGAGAGAGTGAGGGTGAGTGAGTAAGTGAGTGAGTGAGAGAGTAAGAGACGAGAGAGAGAGAGTGAGTGAGAGAGTGAGAGAGCGAGTGAGAGAGTGAGAGTGAGTGATGAGAGAGTGAGAGTGAGTGAGTGAGAAAGTTAGAGACGAGAGAGTGAGTGAGAGAGTGAGTGAGAGAGTGAGAGAGCGAGTGAGAGAGTGAGAGACGAGAGAGAGAGAGTGATGAGTGAGTGAGAGAGTGAGTGAGAGAGTGAGTGAGAGAGTGAGAGAGTGAGTGAGAGACGAGAGAGTGAGAGTGACTCACGGCGACACTGGTAGCCTTGCTTGTTGAGGCCCCTGCAGAGGAGGGTGGGCGAGAAGGGCGACAACAGAAAGCGTCAGCCGGCCGACCGCACGCGGTGGACAAAGTCGTCACTCTCAACATCGCGGCCACTGGGCAACGTGGGTGGGGGCGGTAGGCCTTCATCCAGCAGTGGAGTAAAACAACAGAGTGTAACTGCTGCTTGAACGAGCATTGGAAGGCACTGACAGCTCATCTCCCGTTTTACGGCCCTGAGGCGCCGGTGGAAATTTCACATTCCCGTGGCGGGGACGAGTCCATCCCTAGCGCAACCACTGAGGGATAACACAAAGAGGGGGGGGGGGATGCTGGAAATGATTGTCGTTATCATGGTGTTATTAACATGTCCCGTACGGCTTTCACTGAAGGTCAGATTGATTATTCTCTTTGGCCACGGTGACCTGGGGTGAATTTAAAAGGCATCAAAGGAAACGCAGGCTTCACCAGAAATAACTTGGCAAAGTGTACACAGCCCGGTCGGGGTACGTGGGCCCGGTCAGGGTACGCGGCCCCGGGCGGGATACGCGGCCCCGGGCGGGGTACGCGGCACGGCTCAAGAAGATGTGGTGCAGGAGGATGTGGAGCTGAGTGGACTTGCCGACGACCGGTACCAGCGGTGGCAAGATCGACCTCTATGGAGGAGGCTCGTGAAGGACGCTACTGGGCAGTTGGAGGCAGTCATACTCCAACAACAACGGAGAGCGGAGGAGCGACGCTCACAACAACGAGCGTAGCACCGGGCGGCTAAAACGTGGCAAGTTGGCACAGTGGGGGGCACAGGTGGTGCATCTGGCAGCCATCTCAGTCAACCAACGCCACCTGGGTCTCTGCCGTGACCTCCTATCGGCTAGCATTCAACACTTGACATGGCCTCAAGGTGCACCTAGCCTGGCACAAGACCTGTGGTGGCACTGAGTAGCGAGCGGCAGCTGAATGCGTGCACACGCGTGTCTCCAACTGCTTGTGCACCTGCATGAACACCATGACCACAAAGTAAATATTACACATGGAATGTGTTCTTGTTACCACATGCTAATATATGCCAATGCGTGCTCATAAGGAGGAGGGGTAACATTTCATCTTCCTTCGCCTTGAGGCTGTGGGCTAAGCGGTGGGGTCGGCACGTATGTCCAGTTGCCTGTTCGGATAGAGAGTCGTAAATTCAACCGCCGCACGATAGATGGTGGTGGTGGCAACTACATCTGCAGAACGTAAAGAACCAGTGGCATCTACATCTGTAGAACGTGAAGAACCAGTGGTATCTACATCTGCAGAACTTAAAGAACCAGTGGCATCTACATCTGCAGAACGTAAAGAACCAGTGGCATCTACATCTGCAGAACGTAAAGAACCAGTGGCATCTACATCTGTAGAACGTGAAGAACCAGTGGCATCTACATCTGCAGAACATAAAGAACCAGTGGCATCTACATCTGCAGAACGTAAAGAACCAGTGGCATCTACATCTGCAGAACGTGAAGAACCAGTGGCATCTACATCTGCAGAACGTAAAGAACCAGTGGCATCTACATCTGCAGAACGTAAAGAACCAGTGGCATCTACATCTACAGAACGTGAAGAACCAGTAGCATCTACATCTACAGAACGTGAAGAACCAGTGGCATCTACATCTGTAGAATGTAAAAAAACCAGTGGCATCTACTTCTGCAGAACTTGAAGAGCCAGTGCCATCTACATCTGCAGACCATGAAGAACCAGTGGCATCTACATCTGCAAAACGTGAAGAACCAGTGGTATCTACATCTGCAGAACGTGAAGAACCAGTAACATCTACATCTGCAGAACATGAAAAACCAGTGGCATCTACATCTGCAGAACGTGAAGAACCAGTGGCATCTACATGTACAGAACGTGAAGAACTAGTGACATCTACATCTGCAGAACATGATACCACTTTTAAAGCCATTCCCCATGTTTAGTCTGCACATTGTACAACACGTTTGTAATCGACGGGAGTAAAGTTGGTCCTTACAAACAAATCGACTTACGAACAGACCTTTGTAACCAAATTCATTCGCAAGTAGAGGAGCCCCTGTAATGAGTTTCAACCGAAACCCCCCGACGTCACGTGGCTAGAATGTGCCCCCCCCCACCCCCCGCCGCTGGACCGAGTTAAGTTTGAGTATTTTCACAGATTGTTCACCCCACGACGCTGCGGCTGACGAAGCCTTCTGGAGTGCAGCCTCCCCAAACCGCGACATGGAACTCCCTCGGCCTGCCTGCCCGCCTACCACCGGACGTCCGAAATGCGCCGAGCGGCTCTCAATTCCGTGGCCCGTGCAAGACGCATCGCGTCACACTCGCTTTCCCGTGAAATAAAAACATTTAAGAAGGCAGAGAATGTTTTGGTTTAACACGTAGGAGGAGGCTTTCGCAACTATTATCATAATGGAGGTTTTTGTTGGGGTTAGATAGCATTAATATAAATGTGTTGTTAAACCCGCCACCACCCGACACAGCAATTAGTAAGGATTGTCACGTAAACAGAACGTGTCAATTCCTTCAAATTTGGCTGTCCACCTGATGATGCTAGGTGTCATTACTGCCGAAATGTCGTAGTCAGATTGGAAATGTTGTGGATTTGCTCTCCAACACACTAGTAACGAACTGGCATGTTCTGTTCACGTGACAAATCTTTACTAATTGGCTGTGCCCGGTGGTGGCAGGTTTAACGACACATTTATACTTACGCTATCTAACCCAAAAAAAACTTTAGTATAGAGATTGTTTTGGTTTGCTGCTTCTTTCCTTACTATTTATTTCATCTACTACGAACTTCTCTCACGCTATTCGTTGCCGCACGGGTGCGCTGTATTTTACACGCGGTTGAAATTCCATGACGGGGTCTCCGTGTTCACCGCTGTTGCCCTGCGCTGCCGCCTGCCCCGTATAGTTCCTGTCCCGCTGCACCATGTGGCCCGCTATCGAGGGCGACATTGGCGTGGCAAATAAAGGCCGGCGCATTTAACGATGAGGCTGTCGCCGCACGGTCCACTGTCGACGACGCGCGACGCGCTTCGGTGAACGCTGCCCGAGACTTTGGCCCCTTGTTTGCAAGCGCAATCAACTACGGATCTCATTCCGCGATGGGGGGGGGGGGGGGGGACCTCGCCTGCGTCGAACAAAGGCTGCCTCTGTGTACGTGCGGGCATCAATGGAGTTGGGGGGGCGCGTCTGTCCACTGGGGCACCTGAGCAAGCATTGTGTCGCCAGTTTGCGACTCTCTCTGTGCACATCCACACACACAAACCCTGCCCCTAACCACACACAAACCCTGTCCCTAACCACATCAGCCATCCACACACAATCCCTGCCCCTAGCCACACACTAACCCTGCCCCTAACCACACACTAACTCTGCCCCTAACCACAAACACTAACCCTGCCCCTAACCACACACTAACCCTGCCCCTAACCACACACTAACCCTGTCCCTAACCACACACTAACTCTGCCCCTAACCACACACTAACCCTGCCCCTAACCACACACTAACCCTGCCCCTAACCACACACTAACCCTGCTCCTAACCACACACTAACCCTGCCCCTAACCACACACTAACCCTGCTCCTAACCACACACTAACCCTGCCCCTAACCACACACTAACCCTGCCCCTAACTACACACTAACCCTGCCCCTAACCACACACAAACCCTGCCCCTAACCACACACACTAACCCTGTCCCTAACCACACACGAACCCTGCCCCTAACCACACACGAACCCTGCCCCTAACCACACTATCGATCATCACACTAACCCTGCCCCCTCCCTCCCTTCCCCGTCCCTTCCCCTCCCTCCCTCCCTCCCCCTTCCCCCCTCCCTCCTCCTCTCGATTGACGTCGTCGGATGACTAACGGCCGCTGTGAAGCAGACCACCGCGTCGGACCTCAGGGTGCGGCCTAGCGGATTCGAACTGAGATTAGCTCGGTCGGCTACGTATGGCGCGCAAGGAGTTCGACGCACGGTGCGTGCGGACGAACACGCCACCTGGGCCGTGTGTCCCGGGCTGTCCCCAGTGCGAGAATGAGAGGACGCAGTAAGAATAATAATCGTTTATCATCGATTACACGGGCGGCCTGCGGACTACGACGACGACGGCGGCGGTCCGATCTGCGGACGATCCACGTTCACGACGTTTGTGCGACGTTCGTGCGACGCCCATCACGGATCGATTCATGACGACGCAGAAGCTCGACGCAGGACGGCATCTTCCGATGCGACCTGGTGCCCAACGTGGCCAATAAAAGTAAAAACAGCATCGGCTAGTGGTATCTCTACTGTCCCTGATGTCTATGGGACAACAGGGGTCTGATTAACGACGAGGTTTCCAGGAACAGTGCATTGTGATGTCGCAGAAGCACGGGGACCACCTGTACAATGCAACATTAACCAGGGCGGCCTGCCAGAATCGGAGTGCAAACCTCTGCAACGAGGGGGGAATCCGCTACCGCTGGGCTCCCCCCCTCGCCCCCCCACCACTCGCCCCCCCCCACCACTCGCCCCCCCCCCCCACCACTCGCCCCCCCCGTCCCCCGCGCGCTACTGACCACACGAAGCTCTGGCACACGGAACAGAACGTCGGCTGGCGGAAGAAGGTGGCGGTGTACTCGTGGCCCAGCACGATGTGCACCTTGGCCTGCTTGATGGCGCCACGCCGACGGTTCAGCATGGACACGCCGCGCCATTCGGGGCCCTGCCAGTCCTTGGGGGCACCTGCACGGTCAGGGGGGATGGGGCCAGGGGCCGCCGGGGTCACGGATGGCAGTGGGGAAAGGTTATCGATCGTCGTCATCGGCCGTTGTCGATCTGCTGCTGCTGCTGCTGCACGAAGGCCTCAACCAAGCCGCCGCCGCCGCCGCCTCTCGCGATCCTGCGACGCGACGATCCATCCGACGCCCACGCCTGAAGTGGGTTTTAATCGTTCCATTCCTGGGCTGTCGCTCCAAAACCATCGTCGCTTTGTGACGTGTCCTACCCTAGCCCACTCCCACTTTTTCTCAAGTTTGGGCGATGTGCGTGTCCTCGAATCCGCGAGGTGCTCCTCCTGTCTCTCAAGGCAACGCCACGCCTGCGTCTATCCGGAATTCGTTGGGCCCTCTTTAGTTTGCGTTCTGCGTGCGCGCTTCCGTTGGCGACGACCGCGGCGAGCCCAAGCCGTACGTCGCCGCAAGTTTTGCGCACCGATAGGTCACGCGACTAATCGCATAGAGGAGCAAATGAACGTATCGGTGGTACACACCAGTGGTGCCATGGTAAAAAAGTAAATGTTTTATTATTATTTATTTTCCTGCGATTCGCAACCCCCCCCCCCATCAGAAAATCTCACGGGGTGGTAGTGGTGCATCAACATCAGTTCTCATGACGCCGAAGCAGTCCGTAGACGAATGTCGGTTCAAATGTAGATTTTAGAACCGTCTCATGAGGACCGATGTGTTATGTTGCACCGCTCGGCACGGGCAGGAAAACGCAGGGCCAGGGATCACGGGGCCAGGGATCACGGGGTCAGGGTTCACAGTTGTGAGAGCATGCACATAGGCAAAGGTCAACCAGGTGCAGGTGTCATGGTGGCGGGGGTCAGAGTGGGAGACAACACGGTGGGGGGGAGGTCACGGGGGTCATGGGTCATGACAACCAAAGGTCACGTGGGGAGGGTGTCAGCTGGCACACATCTGTAGGGATATCCCTTCCTCGTCAGTGGTCCGAACTCTCTCTGTGAGATTCTACCAAAAAAGTCTACGGCGCCAAGGCCAAGCCGAGGGACGGCCTTCCTGCGAGGTCACTCGCGAGCACTGCTCCGACGCCTCCGTCGCCGACGGTGCGGCAAACTGCGAGGGTCGCAAAGGGGGCGTGTCCCTCCAGGCTCACGTGACCATCAGACGCCACTCACGTGAGCCAGCGGTGACATCCACACCCCTGTGACGGAGACCAGTCTAGCCACACAAAGACAACCATTGCGGACTTCACTTCGTCTATCCGATCACGAGGAACCGGCAGTGGATCAGTAAAACAAAACAATATTTTGTTTTATAAATAAAACAATATTTTGTTTTATTTTACCAGGTAAGCGCCGCTGAGCTGTATAGCTCTTCTTCAGAAACCACCTGGCCACAAATGATAGCTAGCAAACCCACAACGTTTACAATATTTACAACTGTAAATGTCGGGTGGTGGCTGGTTTAACGACACATTTATATTTACGCGATCTAACCCCTCGAGTGTGTTAATATTGGTCGCGATAGTTTACTATGCAATAAACGAACGCCAACGCTGACATCTTTTCGTGGTGCGTGCGTGAGCGCGCGAGAGTGCGTTTACCCGTCTTGATCTCGTCGATGTACCGCAGAGACACCAGCAACTTCCCCGCTGGCTTCAGGTCCAGCTGTTGACAAAGACGAGGAGAGGGAACGCACTGCACTTCAACTCTGGAGAAGCATTTTTTTCAAAATCCGGCCGGATTACTACTCAACTATTTTAGATTTTTATTCTACCAGGCAAGGCCCAACTGAGCTGCTGTATAATTATTTTTCATAAGCGACCCTTGGCCATCACAAATGATATTTCTATGAAGTGGCTTATCATCATCACGTGGAAATTTATAGCAGCCAAAAACCCTGAACACGTGGTCATGTTGATTCTAAATGTGGAGGGCAAAACTGAAGGACCCAGAGAAAAATCCACGTGACCAAGGGGAGAGAGGCACGCAAACTCCAAATATACAGCAGGCTTTAAAGCGTTCGTGACTGCAAGGATTCATCTTCTTTGGTTCTTTCGGTAAAGTCACGTAGAATGAGAATAAAATAATAAATTGATAAAAGAAAATGACACAATAAAATTATCACGACGTCTCGGCCACAACACAAGCGGCCTTCATCAGGTGAAGGGACGAGACTGTCTGGAGGACAGCGCTTGTGTGTTCCGCGCTCCAGCGCTGTCCTCCAGACAGTCTCGTCCCTTCACCTGATGAAGGCCGCTTGTGTTGTGGCCGAAACGTCGTGAGAATTTTATTGTGTTATTTTATTTTATCAATTTATTATTTTATTCTCATTCTACGTGACTTTACCGAAAGAACCAAATAAGATATACAGCAGGCGTCAGGGTCGGGATCGAACCCACGACCTCCTGCATACCAGGCGAGGTAGTTAACATCTCGCCACTGTGGCGTCCATGCATACACGCACACATAGGATAGCGAATGAGTTTATTTGAAGTTTGTGGTGTCTCCCTTTCCCAATGGTCACGTGGATTTTCCTCTGGGTCCACCGCTTTTTCCCCTCCACATTTAGAAAGGACATCACGCGTTTAGAGTATTTGGCCGCTAAACATTCCACGTGATAATGATGAGCTTCACTTCGTTAGCTATCATTCGTGATGGCCAGGTCGCTTCAGAAAAAGAGCGACATAGCAGCTCAGTAGGGCCTTACCTGGTAGAATAAAAAATAGTTTTGTTTTTTATGGTGAACGTCTTTCGCACCGTACGTAGCCAACCGTGCTCTCGAAACCGTCCGTGGCTGGGGGGCATCGTCAGCCACGCAAGCCCCCCCACGCTTCTTCCCCAGGGCTCCTGACGTGATGGTGGTGGCGGCTGTGGCATAGACCGGCACCCAGCAAGACATCAAACCCCCGGTGGTGACGAAGCCGCCGCCTCATCGCCGTTTCATTTATCGTCCCCGTCGTCATTTTCCGACGGATGTTTCAAATCAGCCGGGTCGCGCCTTTCAAGACAGCGGGCGGCCGGGCGGTCAAACGGCCGCACAGTGTGGCGCACAGTTTGGCAGGGTCACGGGTTCATGAGCCCTGCCACAGCTGATGCCATCCCAAGCGTGGGTGGGTGCACCATGCGCAGCTGCTGTGTTGAGTGTGCGAGTGTCCTGCCGTGTCTCGCTGTCTCGCTGTCTCACCGTGTCCCGCCGTGTCCCGCCGTGTCCCACTGACTCGCTGTCTCGTTTCATAAAAACGAATATAAAATAATAATTTTATTGGTATGGCTTCCGACCTGAAGATGTACCGATGCGTGAGGGCGTCTGGCACAGTTTGGCACCAGCTATCATAGAGTGCGGTCGTATCGCTAGAGTTCTCTGCGGTGAGTACAACGTCTTTAAAATCAACGGCGCTACGCCTCTCTAAATAAGATTAACGCCGAACCCTTGCGTGTTCCGAGATTCGGCGGCGAACGGGGACACCCACCCACACACCCTGCAACTTGCGCACGTCATCGGAATGGCAAAGGGTTTAAGGTCGCGTGAACGTGAGAGGAGACGGCAGCGGCACGCGGGGACAGACAACAGCGGAGACATCTGGCCGGGCTCGGTCGGCAACCTTCTTGCTGTACTGCCGCCTGCACCGCCGCCACCCCTTTGCGCGCCACTCACCCACACGTCGGTTTTGCCGCCGGACTTCTGGCAACGTTCGGCAATTCCGTCGACGGGCACCGTGACCTCAGCCAGCACCTGCTCCGGCTTGCCGATGAGCAGCAAGTGCAGGACGTGCGAGTCGCCCACGGGTGTGTCGAAGTGGCCCTGCCATGGCGGGTACTGCGTCGACTGAACCTGGCGAAGCGTCTTCCGCTCTGCATAAGGCGGGGAGGAGAGGAGAGGAGAGGGGACGGGAGGGGAGGGGAAGGGAGGGGAGGGGAGGGGAAGGGAGGGCAGGGGAGGGCAGGGGAGGGATGGCAGGGGAAGGGAACGGAGGAGGGAGGGAGGGAGGGGAGGGGGATGGAGGGAGGGGAGGGGAGGAAGGAGGGGCGAGGAGGGAGGGACGGGGGAGGGGAAGAGAGGGAGGGGGGCGAGGGAGGGAGGGAGGGAGAGGAGGAAGGTGGGAGGGGAGGGAGGGAGATGAGATGTCCTTTCACGTTTTACGCGGAGGGACAGATCAGATGTGGGACGAGCATCATCGGGTTATTTATTTAGTTACATTCTCTGCCGCGTCGCTCGTCATTATTCTGTGTTGTATATCACTGCAGAGTCTCGCGTCGGATGAGGACCCTTAGCTAAAAGAGAGGGTCCTGTCATCCGGCAGTTCACCGGCATTATTGTTTCTATGCGAGTCTCTGGGTCTCTCTCTTAAGAACGCGAATCTGTGTGTGAGTCTACGGATCTCTGTGTGGCTCTATGATTATTTTCTCCTGTGTTATCGTATACTTTGAGTGTCTATCGAGGATCCATATCTAATGGAGATGGTCTTTAACAACATCAGCATTGGTTCATGGCAAGCTGAGGAGACAGTGAATGTTGAAACCAGTCCAAAATGTGCTTGTGTTGTATCGATGCTGCTGAGAGAATGCATCCCCAGAAAGTGAAAGGTTAATACTTTCAAAATCAACCACAGAATGGCAGAAATGAAATTGGAGGTTATTATTTATTAATTTTTGGGTGCGAAATCGGGTGTGACACCCTGTTTGGTATTAAACGAAACAGTCAGAAGTGGGAGAAATGTCAACACCGAGACTCAACAGGCCTATTCCACTCTGTTTTTATTTCACCAGGTAAGACCCACTGAGCTATATAACTATTGTTCAGAAGCGATCTGGCCCATCACAAATGACAGCTCAACGAAGTGGATCTTCATCACGTGGAAATGCATAGCGTAGCCAAGACCGGTTCGGCCTAGCGGAGGCCGGTTCAGATAATTGTCACCGGTGTTGGCCGTGAGCGGGAATCGAACTCGGGCCACCGGGTTCATAGCGCAGCATAGCGCTGACCACGAGACTCCCGCTCCACATCACTATTTCTATGTTACCAGGTAAGGCCCCGCTGAGCGACGTAGCTCTTTTTTAAAAGCGACCTGGCAACATTTAGAATCAACGTCCCTCTAAATGCGTGACGTTGATTCTAAATGTGGAGGAAAACCGGAAGGACCCAGATAAAAATCCACGCGACCACGGGGAGAGAGAGAAAGACACGCAAACCCCAAATATACAGCAGTCGGCAGGGTCGGGATCAAACCCACGACCTCCCATAAACCAGGCGAGGTAGTTAACATCTCCTAGCTACCGTGATGCCCAGCGCCCCCCCACACACCACACGTCCCCAGTGCATGGTGGGGATAGTCGGGCCCAATTGAGAATTTGCTCGGTGTCTCCAGCACGGCCATCACGAAACCCCTGAGCCGCCCTTCCCCACGTGGCGATGGTGTCCAGCTGGGGGGGGGGGGCGGAACCCCCTCCCCACCATCCCCACCCTCCGCCCCCCCCTACCTCCCTCCCCACCCCAACTCCCCCCCCAACTCCCCCCCCAACTCCCCCCCCAACTCCCCCCCCAACTCCCCCCTCCCCCCCCAAACTCCCCCCCCAACTCCCCCCCAACTCCCCCCCCAACTCCCCCCCCAACTCCCCCCCCAACTCCCCCCCCAACTCCCCCCCCAACTCCCCCCCCAACTCCCCCCCCCAACTCCCCCCCCCCAACTCCCCCCCCAACTCCCCCCCCCAAACTCCCCCCCCAACTCCCCCCCCCAACTCCCCCCCCAACTCCCCCCCCAACTCCCCCCCCAACTCCCCCCCCAACTCCCCGCCCTCCCCACCATCTCCACCCCCCTCCCTCCCTCCCTCCCCACCCCCTCTCCCCCCCCTACCTCCCTTCCCCCACCCCCTACCTCCCTCCCCATCTCCCCTCCCTCCCCACCCCCCCTACCTACCTACCCACCCCCCTCTCTCCCTCACGACCCTCCCTCCCTCCCCACCCTCCCTCCCCACCCCCTCCCTACCTCCCTCCCTCCCCACCCCCTCCCTCCCCACCCCCCTCCCCCCCCAACCCCCGGGACCGCCTTTCGGGGTCTCTGACCTTTGTCCACGAGCTCTTTGACCTGCACGGCACAGCGCGGGTTCACGTCGGGCCCGGCGTTGTTCTGCAGGCTGCCCAGGTCGAAGTCGCACAGGGTGACCTGCAGGTAGGGCCGCATCCTGCACCGACAAAGACAAAGATCCCATCCCGTATGGATTTGACAGACTGTTGGGGCAAGTGCCGTTTGCGAGCACCTATGAAGGCCGGCATGGCACACGAGGGGGTGGGTGGCCAGCACCACGCCCGGCCAGGCCACCTTTGGCTCCCTAGTGGCGATGGTTAAACATCACAACAGGTACTCATTTGAGGCTGAGTCGACCTAGGGGAGCTCCAGAAACAGTTCAAATATTTGCCACCGTTATTGGACAAAAACACGCAAAGACAACCAAGAAACACGCCTAGAGATGAGACGCATTTGCTCAGCATAGGGTCGCGTCGTGTACAATGTAAATGTGTCGTAAATCCGCCTCCAACCGACACAGCCAATGTGAGTATGACGCGTGGCGGTCGCCAGAATTGGCAATCGCCTGATGAGGCTGCTGGTCGTCGTCGTTGGTCGTTGTTGTTGTTGTAATCGCAACAATGTGGGTTTACTTTCCACCACACAACCGGTTGGAGCCGAAGTCGTAAGCTTGTGTTGATTGCACGTAAATGTGACGTGGCTTCACGTCACATTTACGTGATCCAACCCAACAAACAAAACCCCACTTTGTTTTGGATAATATTCGTCTCGAAAGCCCACGTGTGAAGTACACACATTTGCATTCAGCATAAACGAACACATCGACACGTGGAGATACATGTCGGCATAGAGACGCCGCCCACCGCGTGAGTGAATAGGTGAGAGAAGGGCGAGACGGGGGGGGGGGTGAAAGGATGCGTGAGTGAGTCTGGTGGATGGCTTTGTAGGTACACAGGTTAATGAATGAGAGTGTGGATGTATGAGTGGGTGGGTGAGGCGTGAGTGCGTGAGTAAGTGGGCGGGTGAGTAAGTGGGCGGGTGAGTAAGTGGGCGGGTGAGTAAGTGGGCGGGTGAGTAAGTGGGCGGGTGAGTAAGTGGGCGGGTGAGTAAGTGGGCGGGTGAGTAAGTGGGCGGGTGAGTAAGTGGGCGGGTGAGTAAGTGGGCGGGTGAGTAAGTGGGCGGGTGAGTAAGTGGGCGGGTGAGTAAGTGGGCGGGTGAGTAAGTGGGCGGGTGAGTAAGTGGGCGGGTGAGTAAGTGGGCGGGTGAGTAAGTGGGCGGGTGAGTAAGTGGGCGGGTGAGTAAGTGGGCGGGTGAGTAAGTGGGCGGGTGAGTAAGTGGGCGGGTGAGTAAGTGGGCGGGTGAGTAAGTGGGCGGGTGAGTAAGTGGGCGGGTGAGTAAGTGGGCGGGTGAGTAAGTGGGCGGGTGAGTAAGTGGGCGGGTGAGTAAGTGGGCGGGTGAGTAAGTGGGCGGGTGAGTAAGTGGGCGGGTGAGTAAGTGGGCGGGTGAGTAAGTGGGCGGGTGAGTAAGTGGGCGGGTGAGTAAGTGGGCGGGTGAGTAAGTGGGCGGGTGAGTAAGTGGGCGGGTGAGTAAGTGGGCGGGTGAGTTTGGTGTGTTACTGGTTGGATGGGTTGGTAGCTGGTGAGTGGTTTGGGAGTGCAGTGATTTGCTGGCTGTGTGGATTGATGAGCTGGTGGAGGAAGGGCAGTGTATGTCGGGGCCGGATTACCGGCTGGGCGACTGCAGTGAGTTTGTGAGTCTGTGAGAGTTGGATTATGGCGAGTTGTGTGAGCGTGAGTATCACGGGTAGGTGAGTTATTAGTGAGTGCTCCACATGTCGTCCACCCAGCAACTGTTGAGTTGCTGGGTGGACGAGTTGGCGAGTCGTTAGGTTTGTGGGTCCATGCCAGGTGTCGGAATCCCCCCTGAACGTGCCGGTGATCTGATGGCGATGCGAGTCTGACAATTTTGAACTGGCCGGGCTAGCGAGTTGGTGGATGGCTCGGAGCTCGTGAGCACAATGAGGAGATTGTGGCGGTGGTGGAAGACTACAATGGACGAGCTACGGGACGTGTGAAATCCGAGTTGGCGGGGGGGTGGGGGAGTAGTCTGGGTTTGAGGTTCGCGTCGCCTTCGGCGCTCACGGTCCATTCGGGTTTCGCCGCTTCGCGCAAACGCCGCACGCTGCTCGCGACTGAAGCCGCCCACATTCTCGACCGGGCCAATCTGAATGACAATGAGGCTCCTGTGAAGTGGGCAGCTGGGACTGCTTCACTGCGGGTCGACTGCTGCCCGCGGTGGTGCCGCTTGCTGCGCGAGGCCACCGGCTCCAGAGCAGCACGCGGCTGGGGCCGCGAGCGATGCTGGGCAGGAGTTTTGACTGGACGGGGGGGGGAGAGCTTTATAGCTCATCGGATTCCTGCAGTATACGTAAATAGATTCTGATGATACCACGGCGCTCACGGTCGCCCTCGCCGCTCCACTCGCACTCCATATTCGCCGCGGGGCCCCCGCGTGGCCGAGGGAACCCCACGGGCCAGCCGAGGGCCAGCCGAGCAGTGGCGGAGTTCCGAGTAGAGCCGACCGCTGTGGCCGAGCGAGGGCCGTCCGATGTGGGACCGCAACAAAGTTGCATGACGGTCAATGGGGGCCGGACGAAGGCGTCCTGTGGGCCCCTGGGCACGTTTGTTTCTCGGGCCTTCAGTGGTGAGTTTGACACGTCGTAGGATTTCGCGACCAATATGATTCGTAATAAAGGTTTTATTTTATTGGGGTTAAATCGCGTAAGTATGAATGTATCGTAACTCGCCACCACACGACACGGCCAACCAGTAAGGACTCTTACGTAATTGGCGGGTTACGTAATTGTCACGTTTTGTTTACGTGACAAACCTTACCGGTTGGCTGTGTCAGGTGGCGGCGGGTAGACGACACATCCATGCTTCAGCCACAACTGTCTACAGTTGTGGCTGCTGCCCCATGTGCCCACTTCCGCCCGCCGCGGTCGCCCCGCTTGTTGCCACGCGGCACTTCGTCCAGGCGCGTGGACTTGTCTCCATTGAGAATGAGATTGTGCGGCGAACACCATTTGAAGACGTTATTGCAAAAAAATAAATTAGCAATGAAAAAAACATCTCTTTATGAAAAAAAAACCCGGTTAACATTGACACGACTCTGCCTCTTCTCTTTGTATCTACTCTTGCATAACCTTGCTATTTTATAGACGCCAAAAGGCCGTACAGCTGTACGCCTTTTGGCGTCTTCTGTTCTAACACCATTAGAGACTAGGCTCGAAAGAAAGCTGTCTCTGGTGTGGACCAATCAGTTTCAAAGACAATGCATCATCAGATACTATCACAGTGCTTTTGTTTGCATTCTGACCACAAGTATTGCAGTTAAGGGGCTGTCCATAAATGACGTCACGCACCTGTGGGGGGGGGGCGGGGGCAGACATTTGTGACGATGTGTGACGAGGGGGGGTTTGAGAAATGTGACGTCACATCAAAATGCGCAACTTTAAATAAATATTAATTACATATTATTGTTATAACACAAATTTTGATTAATTTTCATTATTAACTATTTGATTATTTAAATTTGCTAAGGTCACCTTTTAATTATTCCATGATGGAGCATTTTGCTTCTCCATGGGAGAATGGAGAAGCATACATTTTAAAAAATTTTTAATGATTGTTATTAAACATTTTGATTCTAATGATTCTACCAGGGCTTTTCATTCTGTGAAATGAATATGTGATTGTTATAATTGCACTCTATTTTGCTTCGTTCTACTACAAAGTTTAAAGTATTTTTTGTAGTCGTAATTACTTTTAATATTTTATAATTATGAGAGAATTTCAATATAATATTCTGAACATCTGCAGTTTTAGTTAGACGTTGAATATTTTCATGAATTTTATGCAACATTTCAGCTTTTCAACGCCTCCTTTTTAATGTTTTCTCCTACAACATCAGAGTGCAGCGCCACATTAAATACGCACTACAATGACAATAGTTTAAAGTGATTTGAAGCATGTTTTATTTTCAAAATGGAATATATAGTTTTGGGGGGGCAGAGCTTTGTGACGTCATATTTGAGGGGGGTCTGACTTTTTGTGACGCCGTGTGACGAGGGGGGTCCAAAATCGGCCAAATTCGCGTGACATCATTTATGGACGGCCCCTAATGCAAACATGATTCCTTGTAAAAGGTTTCAATTTGGTGTTTTAACATCTTAAGACCTATTCTTGGTTCTTTCGGTAAAGTCACGTAGAACGGAAATAATAAAATAATAAAAATAAAACAATCACATTCTCACGACATTTCGATTGCATCATCATCAGGTGTGAAAACCACAGCAATACAATTTTGAAAAAAGGTGGTTTTCACACCTGATGATGATCGCTTGTGTTGCAATCGAAACGTCGTGATAATTTTATTGTTTTATTTTTATTATTTTATTGTTTCCCTTCTATGTGACTTTACGGAAAGAACCAAGAATATGAATCCCTGCAGTCACTAAAACTTTAAATCAAAACATATTTTGTTGCCAGAAAAAAGGGTAAAACCTCTCCCATATCTTGGTTACATTTTTTTTTATCATACACACAAGCAAAACACGTGGAGACTGCGGCCCTGCGGTCACCACACTTCGTGCACGCTCAAGATGCGCTTCTGCGGCCGTCTGGAACGCTCTTCCTTCTGATATTAGGAAGCCACTGCGAGCTATGTAACTTTTAAATAATCATCTCGATTGACAAACTCATTTCTTTAGAACTCCTTTTTGTGTGTTAGTTTGTTCTCCTTCCCCCGCACCTCCAATTAACATAGTTGGCTACTTGGTGCGAAAGAAGTTCAACATTTTCCGTACACACAGCACAGCAAGTTACAATGCTGTTGCTGATGATGATGATGACTTTAATGCTCCTACTGATGATGATGCGCTGCTTATGATCAATGTATACATTAAAGAGATAAATACAATACATGTATGGTTGAAGATGAATGAGTCTTTACAGGTCGTGAGATGTCAAACACTTCTACATCAATTACACACACGTCAATTACATACACATATCAATTACATACACATCAATTACAGACACCCACACACTTAACATCAAATACAGACACATCAATAACACACACACACACTTATACATCAAACACACGCGTGGAAATGTATTTTATTTTCTATATATTTTGCTGATACTAATTCTGATTGATGTGTACGCAGTCGTTTTGAGTCCTTCCATTGCTGTCACTTTGTGAGCTTTGTAGTTGTGGTGCCACGAGGTGACCCTCGCCTAGAGGTTAGATAGACTGCACCCACTACACACACACATCGCACACACACACGATATAAGCATCCCCCAATATAGCTGAACAGACTTATGGGGCAAGTGCTGTTAGCGAGCAGCACCTATGAAGGCCGGCACTGTGGCATACGAGGGGAGTGGGTGACCAGCACCACGCCCGGCCGCCTTTGTCTCCCCCGTTGGCGATGTTTACACATCGCACCAGGTACTCATTTGAGGCTGAGTCGACCTAGTGGTGTTGGCCGTGAGCGGGAATCTAACTCGGGCCGCCGGGTTCGTAGCGCAGCGTAGCGCTAACCGCTACACTACTGACCCCCACCACCTAAAGGTTAAACTGCATTAACTAAACAAATACACAATTCAAAATAACATGGAAATGTACAGTAGCCAATACTCTAAACGCGTGATGGTTAATTCTAAATGTGGAGGGGAAAACCGGAAGACCCGGAGAAAAAAATCTACAAGACAACGGCGAGAGAGAGACACCGCAAACTCCAAATATACAGCAGCAGTAGCAGCAGGCGTCAGAGTCGGGATCGAACCCACGCCCTCCTGCATATGAGGCGAAGTAGTTAACATCTCCTAGCAAATGTAACACATCAAAGGCACGCACGCACAAGACCGCTCAGCACGCGCGCACACACTCACATAAACACACACTCACATAAACACACTCTCACATAAACACACACGCACATACATACACACACACACACGCGCACGCACATACACACGCAACAACAACAACCGCCATTCGCCACTAAGTGGCGGTGACGTCACCACGACACTTGTGCCAGGCCATGTGCACCTTGAGGCCACGTGAAGTGTCGAACGCCCGCTGGCAGGAGGTCACGGGGCAGACCCAGGTGCCACGGGTCGACTGACTGAGATGACTGGCTGATGCACCACCTGTGCCCCCTACTGTGCCAACCTGCTGTGCTTTAGTCACCCGGCGCTCCGCTCGTTGTTGTGAGCGTCGCTCCTCCGGCCTCCGTTGTTGTTGGAGGGCGACTGCCTCCAACTGCCCAGTAGCATCCTTCACGAGCCTCCTCCACAGAGGCCGATCTTGACACCGCTGCTACCAGTCATCGGCAAGGCCACTCAGCTCCACGTCCTCCTGTACCACATCACTCCATCTCTTCTCTAGCCCGTGCCGCGCCCGTTTAGCCCCCTCGATCCGGCCGAACAAAAGCTGTTTCGGCATGCGGTGGCCGGGCATGCGGGCTACATGACCCAGCCAACGCAGCCTTACCTGCCGGAGGAGCTCACCGATGGGACCGTGCCCAGATCTTTCAAGGATTTGTGAGTTCCTCACACAATCCAGCCTGGTTAACCCCAGGATGGATCGTAGGCAGGCTAGCCTAAATGTTTCTAACCGGCGAAGATGTTCCATTAGGGGTCCACGTTTCGCAAGCGTAGAGAAGGGAGGGAATGACCGTAGCCGAGAAGACCTGAAGCTTAGTGCGGAGCGACAGACCAGGTAACTTTCACACAGCGTTACGCAACCGATGAAAATATATTGCCGCTCGACTGATTCGGAGTGAGACCTCTGCTGTTAAACTGGAGCCGGTCAGGTCACATACACACACATGCACGCACACAACAACAATCGCCATTCGCCACGAAGTGGCGTTGACACGCACATACACGCACGCACACATACATATACACACGTACACACACGCGCACAAACAGTTATTGCAAGTGACAAGAATGAGTGGACTTCATATTCTTGGTTCTTTCGGTCAAGTCACGTAGATAGAAAATAAAAATTAAAAATAAAAGCAAAAAAGCTAAAAACCACGACGTTTCGATCGTCGTCGTGGATCGATCGAAACGTCGTGGATTTTTTTTTGCTTTTATTTTAAATTGTAACATTTTTTGTTTTTTCATTAAAATTTTCTATCTACGTGACTTTACCGAAAGAACCAATAAAATGAATTCCTGCGGTCACGAAAGTTTTAAGTCAATATGTAATGAGTGCACTGTCTCTCGTTCATATTGCCATGCAAATACTTTCGTTTCGCTCAAATCCGAGCCGAGCGAGACGCCAACTCGTTTCAACCGCGCCTGTGGCCAAACCCGGCCCAGGAGGAGCCGTGGCAGGCGCCAGGCCGCGCGTTCACTGCCCCGTGAACGTAAACAGCGGTGGCGCCACGCTCTAGCCACTGCTCCAGCGTCCTCCCTGCGTGGGTCTCATCGACAGCCCACGTTCTCTTCAGAGTCAAGACGGCGAGAAGCGGTGTGCCCGCCCGCCCGCCCGCTCGCGTCCGCCAACTGGCTTGCAGGTCATCTCGATTGTGGAAATTACACGTTAATATGCCCGGAGCCCCGACGTGATGAGGATGACGTTGACGGCCTTAGAGTCAACCGACAAGGAACTGCAATTGTGAATTTACAACGGTGGACTTACTGTTCGGACACATTTTTACTGCCCGATCAACATTTAACCGAAGTCAACAATAAGATTTGCACTGTGAACCTTTTGACACGAGCCGTTCGCGCTCTACATTAGCCAACGATCACCCCCAACTACCCCGCCTGCAACCGCGTACAACTCATGAAACCACGACTGGTGACCAGTCAACATCGCACACAAGGGGAAAAAACCTCAAGCACAACCGCACAAAGAAGCGAAGGTTTTTGACTCCCGTAGCAGAGCACGAACCTCAGTGGTCAGCCTTCGCCGCTTCAAGCGAGTTCAAGAGTTTAACTCCCATACACAGTCCGAGGCCCAGTTTCATCAATTGGTAAAGTCCACAATGCACTGGCACCACCATAGGAATGTGGAATGTCCACTGATGGTAGCCACTGGATATGCCCACCGTTCCGATGCTCGTCTGAGCGGGGAAGAGGCTCCAGTTTCACGTTGATGAAAACGTCCCAGAGCAGACCGCCAGCAAACCTCTGCGGGATTCCTTCCGCAAACCTCGAGCTGCGGGCGTCGAGCCGCGGGCGGCCCCCCGAGCGGCCTCCCGAGCGGCCCCCCGAGTGGCCTCCCGAGCGGCCCCCCGAGCGGCCTCCCGAGCGGCCCCGTGGTCCTCACCTGCTCAGTGTGCGGCGCTGGTCGCGTGCCGAGTCGTGCCGCTCGCACCTGGGCGCCGTGCGTTGTGGCGGGCAGGCCGGGCAGGTCGGGCAGGCGGTGGTGGCGGTGGTGGTGGCGGAGCGTGGCGGGGGAGAGGAGGAAGGGTGGGGGCAAGTCGCGCGTCTCGTTCACGATGCGCGCGCCCCTCCTCCTCGCTCTCCCCCTACCCCCTCTCCCCCTACCCCTCTCCCCCTGCCTCCCTACACCCTGCAAGGTCCCCTTCATGCTCTCCTGCATCCCCCCCCCTCGAGCTCCCCCCCCTCGAGCTCCCCCCCCTCCCCGAGCTCCCCCCCCCCCCCGAGCTCCCCCCCCCGAGCTCCCCCCCCCCGAGTTCCCCCCCCCCTCGAGCTTCCCCCCCCCCCTCAAGCTCCCCCCCCTGCTTGACGCAGGCGTGCGGCACAACGCATTTCGCTGGTCGGGGTGGGGGGACAAAATTAACAATTTTACGCAGGCCTCGCACTAAGCTAAACTCTTTTTATTTTACCAAGGAAGATTTATCACGTGGACATTTATAGCAGCCCAAACACTCGCGACGCGTGATGTTGATTCTAGACGTGGTCGGAAAACCGGTGGACCCGGAGAACAACAAGTTCCACGCGACCACGACGAGAGATAATATGCAAAACTCACCATGATACAGCAGGCGGCCAGGGCTTGGATCGAACCCACCACGATCCTCCTGCATAGCAGCAGGCGAGGCAGGTAAAAATCTCCCAGCCCACAGGGGCCTCTATCTCACAATGGAACTGCGAGCACGCGGACCCGGCACTCTGGCCACAGGACCTAGCATGGGACCCCTGGACAGGCCTTGACCTGGAGCACGTGCGTTCTAAACACACACACACACATGCTCTGAAGGCAAAAGGTCTCCCGTGTAGTCTTAACAGACTCAACAGACTGTTGGGGCAAGTGCTGTTAGCGAGCAGCACCTGTGAAGGCCGACACAGCACATGCGGGGGTTGGTGGCCAACCACACGCCCGGCCGCCTTTGTCTCCCCAGTGGCGGTGTTTACTACACACTGCGCCAGGTACTCATTTGAGGCTGGCTCGATCTAGGACCGGTTTCTGAGAATCGTCACCGGTGTTGACTATGAGCAGGAATTAACACGACATCGAAATGCGCGCACACACTCTTAAGATACTCCAACTGTAGACTAAACACATACACCACACGCACCACACACACACACCACACATACAAACAATACACACACACCAAACACACCACACAACACACACCACACACACACAAACAACACACACACACCAACAACACACACACACCAACAACACACACACACCACACACACCACACACCAACAACACCCCACACACACACCACACACACACAACACACACCACACACACACCACACACACACACCAAACACACCACACCACACACCACACCACACACACACACCAAACACACCACACCACACACCACACACACACAAACAACACAGACACCAACAACAACACACACACACACCACACACACACCAAACAGACCAAACAAACCACACACACACCAACAACACATGCACACCAACAACACACACACCACACACACAACACACACACACCACACACACAATACACACAACACACACAACACACACTACACACACCACACACACACACCAAACACACCAAACACACCACACACATTTCGATTTAAAGCTTTCGTGACTGCAATGATTCATCTTCTTTGGTTCTTTCGGTAAAGTCACGTAGAATGAGAATAAAATAACAAATTGATAAAATAAAATAACACAATAATATTCTCACGACGTTTCGGCCACAACACAAGCGGCCTTCATCAGGTGAAGGGAGCGAGACTGTCTGGTAGGACAGCGCTGGAGTGGACAGTCTCGCTCCCTTCACCTGATGAAGGCCGCTTGTGTTGTGGCCGAAACGTCGTGAGAATATTATTGTGTTATTTTATTTTATCAATTTATTATTTTATTCTCATTCTACGTGACTTTACCGAAAGAACCAAAGAAGACACAACACACACACCAACAACACACACACCACACACCAACAACACACACACACCAACAACACACACAACACACACCACACACACACCACACACACACCACACACACAACACACACCACACACACAACACGCACCACACACACACCATACACACAACACACACACCACACACACACACTACACATACACACACCAACAACACACACACCGCACACACACACCACACACACACACCACACACACCACGCACCAACAACACCCACACCAACAACACACACCACACACACACCACACACACACACCACACACACCACACACCACACGCACATACACACAACACACACACCACACACCAACAACACACCACACACCAACAACACATACCACACACGCACACCACACAAACACTACACCACACACCAACAACACACACACACACCAACAACACACCACACATACACCACACACCAAACACACACACCAACAAGACACGCACCACACACCAACAACACACACACACCAAAAACACACCACACACACACCACACACACACACCAACAACACACGCACCACACACCAACAACACACACACCAACAACACACCACACACACACCACACACACACACACCAACAACACACGCACCACACACCAACAACACACACACACAACACACGATCCAAGCGCACGTCGCGGTATCCCGTGACGCGACTCCCAGCGGCACAGTTTGGGTTACAAGAAAAATGACAAAGGAGAATCACTCAGAGGGATGTCGCCCTCAGTGAGCGCCCTGCGCGGGGCGCCTGCCCAGGGCCCCTGCGTTAGGGGGGTGGTTGCCCAGGGTCCCAGCGTTTGGGGGGTGGCTGATGAGGGCCCCCCGCGTTTGGGGGGTGGCTGCCCAGGGCCCCTGCGTTAGGGGGGTGGCTGATCAGGGCCCCCCGCGTTTGGGGGGTGGCTGCCCAGGGCCCCTGCGTTAGGGGGGTGGCTGACCAGGGCCCCCCGCGTTTGGGGGGTGGCTGACCAGGGCCCTCCGCGTTTGGGGAGTGGCTGACCAGGGCCCCCCGCGTTTGGGGGGTGGCTGACCAGGGCCCCCGCGTTTGGGGGGTGGCTGACCAGGCCCCCCCGCGTTTGGGGGGTGGCTGACCAGGGCCCCCCGCGTTTGGAGGGTGGCTGCCCAGGGCCCCTGCGTTAGGGGGGTGGCTGACCAGGGCCCCCCGCGTTTTGGGTTGGCTGACCAGGGCCCCCCGCGTTTGGAGGGGTGGCTGACCAGGGTCCCCCGCGTTTGGGGGGTGGCTGACCAGGGCCCCCCGCGTTTGGGGGGTGGCTGCCCAGGGGCCCCCGCGTTTAGTGGATGGTTGCCAGGGCCCACACGTTTGCGGGGTGGCTGACCAGGGCCCCCCGCGTTTGAGGGGTGGCTGCTGCCAGGGCCCTCGCTGTGCCCAGCACTCGCATCACTCACAAAGCGACCATTCCGGTTTTTTCCAAAAAAAATTTACTTTACAAAACAGAAACATTCCAACTGTCGAGAAGTGATTGCCATTCACGTTACTTCCCCTTCCGCAGCTATGTTCTCACCAACTATGTGATCACCTATACAAGCAGCTATGTGCTCACCAGCTATGTGCTCACCAGCTATGTGCTCACCAGCTATGTGCTCACCAGCTATGTGCTCACCAGCTATGTGCTCACCAGCTATGTGTTCACCAGCTATATGCTCACCAGCTATGTGCTCACCTATAAAAGCAGCTATGTGCTCACCTGTGCAATTGACGAACGCCCTGGTACCGTGCGCTACACTGGTGCCAACAATCACCCCGAGTCCCAATGTTTCTGTAGCTTAATGTGACTCTGAACGAGTGTTTTTTGATACATTTTCCGAGCAAAGCCTTGTGATAGAGAAATAAAACAACGCTGCGTTTAACGCGCATTCCTCTGGGTAGTATTTTAGATTTCCTTTGTAATTATGCCGTTGTTTTTTTTTTTGTCCAGATTGCTTCAATGCCCGTGTGTCTCTTTACTTTGCATGGCATCGAGTTCGTTATTTTTTTGGTGACCCCGAGGGTCACTCATGCCACGAAACTCGTCCTGATTTCCCGAGCACGCTATCGCATGGCTACACAAAATCAACGTCACGCCATCGATCATGATGACATCGATCCTGACCGATCGCTTGGGAAGCATCATGGGGGTTAACAGGAACTGCTCTCCGTTGGTTCAGATCTTCTCGAGCTAATCGGGAACGGTTCGTATCCGTGGGAGATTGTAGATCTGCTCCCAAGCCCTGTTTCATTCTGGGGTTCCTCAGGGTTCTGTTCCTGCACTCTTCTCTGTTGTATCGATTTGGTTCTACCGGGTCATTTGCCCCGAAATCTCAGCCTAGACTTTCATTGCTATGCGGACGACACTAAAATGTACTTGCATGCTGGGTCCGAAATCCTTTCATCCCTTCGTCTGCCCTCCATGCTTACTTCGGCGCTGACCTTCATCAAGAGTTCAATGCAACAAAACTTCCTTCAATTGAACGGTGGTGTTGAAACGCAGGTGATGCTCATTAGGTCACCGAACCAACTCCATAAAGCAGCAACCTTCAACATTACGACTGACTGTCATGTAATCAGTCCGGCACAGGAAGTCACAAATCTCGGGGTCATCTGCGATCCCGCATTGTCCTTCAAGGCTCATATTAAAAAGATCACAATGACTCAATTTTTCCATCTAAGGAATATCTCCCGTATTCGATCCCCCTCTCTCTGCTTCAGATGTAGACAAGCTGATCCATGCCTTCATTTCATCTCGCATAGACGATAGTAATGTCTTACTCCCTGACGTGGTTAAGAATGTGCTGATTAATGTGCATGTTCAGAATGCGGCTGCTCGGGTGTTAACCAGAACCCCTTCTTCACATCATATTACACCCGTTTTGGCCTCCCTGCACTGGCTTCCAGTTTCACATAGATTCCAGTTTATAATCATATTGTTAACTTACAAAGCAGTGAACCACCTTGCCCCAGCCTACATAATTGACACGCTGCACCCATGTGTCCCCTCAAGGTCCCTAAGATCTGGGCATGATGCAGATCTTCTCTCTGCATTCCCAGGTCAGGGTTGCGATCTCTGGGTGACAGAGATGCTTC